CTCTTTGGGAAGCCGCCTGAGACTCGATACCGTCGCCAAACGGGTTGCGGCTGCTTTCTGTGTTGGGAGTGCTTGGGCGGAGAGGAGTGCCAGCGGCCGCAGAGCGGGAGTAGTAGCCCTGGTCTTGATCCATTGTTGGAATGTGGAGGGTATCGAGTGGCTTGGAACTAGACGAGAGAGCAGTGAGGGTCTCTCGTGGTGATGATGGAGGAGGAGAAGAAGTTGAAGAGTCCGGCCTGCTTTAAGCTCGCAGGTGGGCAGAGGACGACTGAGAAGAAGTCGAAAGCGAATGTGGTGTATGTCGCGGCGATCTGTTGTCGCTATGCCAAAGAGGCTCGAGTTGAACAGCAAACCACTGAGGTGAGTGCCAAACGAGCGACAGGGGATGATTTGTACTGCTCACGGCAACGGGCAAAGCGAGGAGGAGAAGAAAGAATCGCAGTCGGGCATCGAATGAGAGGCGAAGCCGGGTAGAAGACGTTCCTGGACAAACTAAGATCAGGCAGGGTCAAGTGCGAGAAAGGGTGATGTTCAGCCACCTCCCAACTACCTATCTATCCGTACCATACCTTGCCAGAATTGGTGCGTTTCCCATCAAAGACTCGACTCTACTCGGCGTGGGCAGCTAAGCTAGCTGGCTGGAGGGGGAAGAGGGGGGTGTAAGCGGGACCAAAACAGCCAAGGTGTGGCTTGAGGGTCCCTACATCGCTACTACATCGATAGTAGGTAGGTCCAGTTCGTTCCCGTCATGCCGCCTCAGCTTTTCCCTTAGCGGTTGCAGAACGCCATGTGCAGTTGTGACTGTCTATATTCCGCACGGTATTTGAGCAACCCAAGCGGTAGTGGACTGCTGAACTGAGCACTTTAGCGCACCAACTGGGCGCTTCACCACGTCGCTATGCAGCAAAAGTACCTGGCAAAAGTGGAAATGAAGAGGGAAAGGGTCGCACTGTACGCAGTACACCAGGAAGCCCGCTCGCTCCTCCTTCTCCTTCTCCTTCTCCTTCTCTTTTCGTCCCATTGTCTATCTGGGTACGTAGGTAGGCGTCGGATCCGGCTCGTTCTAGTTCGGACGGGCCCAAACTATTTACTCATCTTCCACCTTCAAAACAAATCATCAACATGTATGAGACATCACCAAGCCCTCGCCTTCACCGTCATACCCGCTCTGCTCTCGGGACCTAGAGCATTACCTTACCGCCCAACAACGTGCCCTCAAGGCACTCAACTCTTTGCATCTCGGCGCTTTCCGTTCAGCTGCCGACCCAATCGAGGACCAAGGCCCCCAACAGATAGTTGCGGCAACATGACTACTACCACGACGAAACCTCACTATTGGCACCTTGCAGCGCCCGCCCTTCACCTTCAGCCTTGATGATACGACAGTCCAGGTGCCACTTCAGCAACTGGCTGGCCTCTCCTGCCATGCTTCACCCCCCCTGGCCCTGTCCATCCGTCCCGCTACCTTATCCGTCCCGCCGTGCGCGCGTTGCTTTCCCAGACGGGTTCCAGCTCCCCTCCTCCGATTCTGATTGCCACAACATTCAAAGAAAACAGGCTGAGGAAAAGTATCAGAAAAGCAGCAAGAGATTGGCCCGGGCCACGCTTGCACTGGTGCGTCGGCTAGCCCTCGTGGCGTGCATGCATCAGCCAGTTCGCCCAGTGGTGCCCTTGTTCCTGCATCAAGGCCCCTGTTGGTCTCTCTTTCCGACCGACCCCCTTGTCCCTGGTAAGCTTGCTGGTCCGACAGGAGGAAAAGACGAGATAAGGAATACTGCCTCTTCGGGACTAAACCCCAATAGCGCCCGACAGTGCTGCGCTGCTCTGCCATAACCCGTCTTGGCTGTCTTATGGCCTCCTACCGCAATTTCCACCGGCGTGTCAAGCACCGTGGCCACCATGTCACGATGGCGTCAAAGCTCAACGCGATGAAAGCCTCGAGGCCAGATCCGGCTGCACCCAAGCAAGAGAAAGCGATACGAGACTGAGAAAACGACGCTCAGTTGGGCTGGTCCCTCCTCAGGCCAAAGCGAGAGCAGATGCACACCCTCCGGGCAAGCTCATCGCAGCATCAACCCTCCTGCAGCTATCGACATAACAGAGAGGACACCAACAAACATAACTGGCGTCATCCGAATCACCATCGAGATGCGTACCCTAGTACTCTGTAATACCTTTACACTGCTTACGACCTGAGCCAAGTGGGCCATTGTCAGCATCACCTAGATGGAAGGGTCATTGCCTGCTTGGCCGTCTTCTGTTCCAGCCGCTCGGACATGGTCCGCGGTTCACGCTCGCCACCTGGAAGACCGGCAATGGAACTGCGGCGAGAGCGCCTCTGCCGGCCCTGCCGTCAAGCAACACAAGTTCTGGACTCCAGCTTCCTCGCCAAATCGACGCTAAGAGGTCCGAATGGAAACCCCATCATGGACGATCGACGCCCCGAGGGCTTCCCGGCTAGGCGGTGGACGCTTTCCTTTGTTTCTATCCGAAGCTGGCCAATACATCCAGCAACTTGGGAGCGCTGCTCTTGTCATTGCTTATCTGGCAATCAAGTCAGACTCGGTTCCGCTGCTGCATGATGCCCACAGTTGACCCATTCAACCACATGCTATCGATCAACACGCATGATGCCACCTGCAATGCAGATGTGGTTGTCAACGCACGTCCTGGTAAGGATCCTGGTATGATTTCCCAACTTTGTGCAATCTGCGTCTTGCGGGAAAGAGGGCCGATTACACTGCATTGCGCATGCGTTAGCCCTCGATACTATGTTCAATCGAGTTGCTGTTTCACGACACCATAGCAGGCCCGGATGAGGCCATGTCGGGCACCCCAAGGGTACTTTCGCTTCATTTCCCGCTTTGGACCATCTTCGGCCCGCTGGACTTCAGCTCTCAGGATTCAACAAGCCCAGGCTGCAGTGGACTTCTTGCCTGCCCATAGTCCTTGCAAAGTCTAAAGCCAAGTATTTCCTAAAGCGAAGCAACAATGGCCCTAACCGAACCCAGCCCGCGGAGTCGGCATCTCTCAATGCTCCGGTTGCAACGAACGCAGACATAGTCCCACTGCGCACCCAACTTCTTGTGCCACTCCCTTCGAGCAACTTAAAATATGCATCGCCGTTGCTTTAGCCACGCACGCTTAAACGTCTCACAAAAAAGAAGAGTCCATGGCCGTAGAAATTCTTGCTATGGACGCGGTGGCAATAACACGAACCAGTCAGCAGCTGCATAATCTAGACGACCCCGCCTATGGGCTGCCACTCCATCTCGTGTTCTATCTAGGCAGGCGGCTTCGATCTCCTCCAGTCAGTAAGCCGTGCAGCTCGCCTAGCCGGTTATTTAGAAGTACACCGGAATAATACAAACCCCCAACCCTCCCGAGCTCCTCGTCCCCTTTGCCCGCTACGTCAAGCCGCGCAAGTCTCGCATTGGATACGGAGCTAGTGGATGGGGGATGTGTCTCATCCAATCGCGCTGACTTCGCTCGCAGTCCTTCGTTCGCTGGGTATCTCGCCCGCTCTCACAGTGGTATCTTTCAGTTGATGGAACCAGAGTGAGAGTTTGCGAACAATGTGCCATCGCCCGCATATACAGTTCTTATCTTGCAACGGTGTGCCTACTACGTGTCCTGCGAGTCACCTCCCAGGTGGATGGATGATTGGGGCAAAGGTCGTCTCCGTCTCTCGATCATTCGTTCATGCGTCAATACTCTAGGGTACTGAAAGCAGGGCCCTCCGCACGCAATGTAAGGTAGTGACTCTGACAGGTGTGCAACCAGGGGCTAGAGCCTTACACAGCATGGTTTCAAGGGCACATCAGAGTTCCCCGAGAGCTGGGCATACATGCTCACCGCGTCTGGAAGTCAGGTTTGTTATTCCGGCGTCGATTGACGTTTGGCTTGCGGACGCCAGTTGGCAGCTGGGGATGGGCGGTTGGGGACAAGGCGAGATGCAGGTCTGCGGCGTTGATGACTTTGGGTGTGCCCTTGGCGATTATTGCAGGTTTTTTTTTTCTCTCAACCGAATGCCTAGGCCTTGGTTGGTGTGAGGCCTAGTGGGCTTTTGCATCTGGGCAATGCGGGACACCATGGAACGCTTACGTGAGGATGTAAACGTCTTGGACGCCGAAGAATATTACTCCTGTGACTGTTGTACTCATGACGTCTGAGCATCTCTGGACACCGGGCAAGTCTTCATACCATATTTCTTTCTTGGGATATATCGTGGTCCGTCAGTGTGGAGACGGTCCCGACGGAAGAGAACAATCTCAAGGTCTCCTGGCGCCCATAGTGAGAGTATTACTCGCCAGCCACGAGATCAACGAAGTCAAGTCTGTCTTTCTTTGAGTCCAGGGACGAACGAAGACGAAATTCGACCCTTTAGATAAGCCAAACGAGAGGGAAGAGGCTTCCGTTCTGAGGCACTGATGCTCGAGTAATAACAATATTGGGTGCTAGCATTTATACCGTGGGCTCGTGGAGTTTGATCTCTTCCTTTTTGTGGATAGATTGGACCAGCAGTCGGGTTAATTTGCTCTTGACATGAGACTTGAATGTTATGGAACCGCCCAACCTACAACTCTTGTGACAAGACTGTAGCCATGAAGGAGGCACCACGGTCAACCCATTTCACATCATGATATAATGCCGACGCTTGATAAACAGAATCTCTGTGGTTACTGAGAAGCTCACTGAGAACATAGGGCGGGTGTTGTCTCATAGCGAAAGAAACCTCCCTATACTTGCCGTGTCTCGTCAGCTGTATTCTGGTGGCATTCTTCACTGAACAGCTTCGAGGTAGCAAGAAAGGTTCACAAGGTAAGGCCACTTCACCCCTAGCATAGTGTATCGGTTGCGTGATGGGTATGGCTGTGTTCTAGTCCTTCCTTTGTATGTCAGACACTGGTTCACATTTTGACTCATTGGAGTTTCTGCTCTAAGCACTACAGCAATACTATAGCTTCATTCTATCCACGAGAGCCAGGCCCTCATTTTGTTCAAGCCAACGCGGCTAACCCCGCGAGCAGGGCTGCACCTGCAGCCGCCACCGTTCGCGCTGCGACACCAGGGCTAGTGGTAGTCATTATGGCCGTTGTCGAGGTCCTTGTTGAAGCCGCAGCGGTGGTGATGGTCGTACTCGTCACGGGACAACTTACAGTGCAGGGGATTGCAGAAGTGAAAGGCAGCCCGGAGGCGGAGCTCTCGGGGTACACGGGCTCCTGGCTGATGGCGGTGGGATTCGGCACAGCCGTTGCCTTGTCTGGGTTGAGGACGTTATCGATGATGTGCATGATGCCATTGGCGAGTAGGATATCCGGCTGAACGACCTGCGCCGAGTTGAGGAAGAGGTTGTTACCAGAACGGATGACTCTGAGACTTTGGCCAGTCAGGGTATACAGGCTAGTACCGTTCTTAAGACCCAAGGAGGGAACTACTTGGCCCTCGACAACGTGGTAGTTGAGCAAGTTCCTGAATGCATTTTCGTCCAAGTCTTCAAGATGCCCGGCGACGCGCTGGAACGCTTCATTACGAGGAGCGAAGATTGTCACGTTCCTCTTTTCCGACAGCGAGGGCAGGAGTTTGGCGGTGTACAACGCGCCAAGGAAGGAAGAGAGCCCGAAAGACTCGGTCGAGTTCTCAAGCCTGGCAGGAGGTATCAAGAGGTTGTCGACAACCTGAATGAGGCCGCCGGCAAACCTGATGTCTCCTTTGACTTGTGTGGTGCGGGTGCCTTTGGAAGAGGTGAAAACAATCACGTCGCCAGGCTGCTTGTTCACCATGACGTTCTGCCCGCCGGTGACATTGGTCCAGGCTGGGTTCTGTAACAACGAGGAGTGCAATACTGAGGGGCCTGTTTCAAGGGCGCCGGTTGAGACTGTGCCTTGGAGGATGTGGTACTCCAGTATAGGGATGGCGATGGAGGGATCTGATTCGTTCCATTTGCCATTTAGTTGAGTGCCGGGAATGTTCTCAAAAGCTGCGTTGGATGGCGCAACAACCTGGATATATATTAGCATGGAGCCTGCGCCGCTTGGGTCAAAGAAGTCATAGAGAACTCACTGTGACTCCGTCGTAGCTGGGGAGCTTGAGGATAACTTCAGGGTATTTCTGATCAAAGTCAGCAAAGACTTGCAGCCTCTCTCCGAAAGCGTCTCATGCCCAATCAGCGAAGCATATTGACAATGAAAACGACAAGAACTACACCACCTCAACTTACCTTGATTAGATTGAAATAAGTGGTCAGATTTGACTGGGACTGGAGAACCTTTCCGAGATCGTCTTGCTGAGCGCCAACGATATCAATCAACGATAGAAGGCCCACAAGGCCTGCCGGAAGGAGTGCCGAGATCATGATGAGGGTTTCTGGTGTGTATGCGTGATGCGCAGGAGAGCTAAAAGTGTGATCGCGGTCTACAAAGATCAACAACGTGACGGATATTCAATGATGTTCTCTCGCCTTGTACGAGGAACTCGGTTGGGCTGAAAGACGAACGAAAAATGAGGTGAGGTCAAGGCTAATAATGCAAAGTCCAAAGTCAGGACATGAACTGACCGCCAGGGATCAGCCCATTAGAGAAGGTAGAGCTTCTTAAGAGGGCGCCGCACTGCTGCTCAACCAACGGGAGTCACACGGAATCCTACAGATAGCATTGAGCTCCTGGCAAGATTCTTCTGCATCAGGCTGGGGTAAGGCTACACCTGCGCAGTGAGCTTGGCAGAAAGCTACTGCAGGAATTGGAGATGACATGTCGCCAGGTCATTGATTCTAGGGCGAGAACGAGATTGGTGTCTCGCCAACTGGGACAACCAGCGACCGAGGCCCAATGCGGCGTGTTGATACCGCATGGGCATGATACAGAAGCCTGAGAGGATATGTTCATTGGGCTTTTGTTCGGATGTGATATGCACAAACTGATTTCTATATCTCGTGAGAAACAGATAGGATAGAGATGTACCTGTTGTCCGAGGAAGAGACTCGCCAAGATCCGTTCGCCGTTAGCGATGGTAACGATCTGCCAAGGACTAACAAAAGCACAGTTCTCCTGCTTTAGTCCCCGCTCTCTTATCACGGGAAACCGTATCTCTTCTTGAGATAATGGGCGAAAACTGGTATGGTAGTACAGGGCTCGGCCAGTTTTTCCAGGGGAGGGAGAAACATCCATGTTACACGAACCGAACCATGTGGCCCTGCATGCGGAAGCGACGCGACGAGGAAGAAGAAAGAGTGCAGGGTGGACAATACTACTCATTTGCTAGATAACGCACTGGTCCTTTTTACTAAGGTAAAACAGATGTTGCTCCTGGTACGTTTAGCGCAAAGTCGGACAGGAAGCATTGTTGAACCATATTTTACGGATGTTGTTCATGGATATTACATAGACCATGTTCAAGGGTGTCTCAGCAGCAACAGCAGCCGCCTTAACAGACTGGCAAAACAATTGAATTCACGACGGGCTTATCTTGGTTTGATCTATTCTGCTCCTCGCAATGTTTCAATGATCTGAAGATTTGGATAACGTGAACGGACAGTGGCCAACCATTTTGATTTTTTCATTTTTATCGCGTCTTATCACGAGGAGATACCAAGTTTCCCAATGGCTCATGCACCCTTGCTGGCCAAGGTCGCCTTCCTTGGTCTACTCTCAACACGAGCTGCAGTGCAGAAAGCGGGTAGCCAACAGGATTAAAAGCTCTGCAAAAGTGGCCACTGCAGGCTGCATCATGCGAATCCTTTAATTAAGAGACCAGCCTCAGTGGCTCACAGCGGTACACTGTCCCCCTTGACCCCCGATTCCGCCCTTCCTTGCAGGGGCTTCTAACATGATGAACGTAGCAAACTTCGACTGGCCCTGAAGATGCCACGTCTATAGCCATCGGGGAATAGAAGATCGTACTCAATCAGCAGAGATCAAGCAGCAACTCGTTTCGCACCTCCAATACTACCTAATGCCTTTGACTGACCTCTTCCTGCACGTCACACTTTTCTCCACATCCGCACTCGCAGACGATGCAGCAACCTAGACACTGGAGGCTTGCCTATCGGGCCCGGAGCAAGCTCGAGAACTAGTAAGCCGCCCCTCTCGGCGATTTTGCCGGTATCCGACCCACCAAGTCCGGGGAGTAGCAGCATCTCCGGCTGTCCTCTATCTTCAAGACTGTTATCAATGATTGCATTCTATTTTAGAAGAAATATTCTTCATATTTATGCCTGCTGTATTATTCCCTGAAAGTGAGTTGCAGCCATATTTACTTAGGGGCTGTGTTCCCTCATCAAGTTTGATAATAATACTCTTTCAAACAGGTCTATAATAGCACCAGTAACGATGAACTTCCAGTCGCTATATTTGCAGGACGGCCTGATATTTCGCTCTCTATATTTGCCTGTAGTGCCTCTCAACAAATTGCTACTGGATTAGCACGAACTCCCTTATCCTTTTCTCTCTCTCTCTCTCTCTCACAAATATCGCATTCATCTGTATATCCTTGTCGTAGACAGTATGCAAGACTACAATTTGTGACTTGAAGTATTTCCCCGAGGGCAGATATGCCCAGGATATATCGAGACAGGAACAGTCTACAATTGAACGTCCGTGATCCAGGCTCTCATTGAACCCCCCCCCCCCCCCCAAAATATACCGGGAGACGTGCCTTCTTACACAGGTTAGAAATCTGAATATCCGCAACATGAGACGTCAAACCAAGCTTCTTCATTTTCAGATCTCTCCAGGTCAAGAATTTATTCATGGATTTTGGAGACTTCAGCTTTCTTTCGAAGTACTAAGAACAGGGACCTCGATATCAAACATGTGTTTTGGAAAGTATATCGTTCCCTTGGAAATAGAAGGACATATATGAAAAACGAGCTCCACCAGTGATAACCGTTCTTCTTCTAATAAAGCGTATAACTTTGATCTCGCCGTGGGCCCCGGGTTTGTGTGTCGATGGGCTTCACCATTGGCTAATGATGGTTTTCATGACCCCGATGAAAACCGCCACGATTGGCTTTATGAACGCACTTGTCTAAGACCGAAGCAACGACCTAGGTATTGTTAATACCAGAGCAAACATAATGAATCGATATATTGAGAGTAATATTCACTTCTAGACCAATCTTTTGTGACAAGGTCGATTGACAACCGTCTCACATAGGTATCAAGTGGCTTCTAGTAGAGAACATATCGGATTGTGAAGTATAAACTGGCTACGCTAGCACCATTTCCTATTCTAGTAACGAATGAACCCAAGACCGTGATATGCATACCCCCTGCCATGAATGCTGCCCAAGCAAAGAAACAGGCTACTTTTCCCTTCGCAGAGAATGCAAGTCTAATGTAATGATGACGCTTATGCTCGTTACGCGTGTATACCGTCGCGTAGTTTCAGAGCCTTTCCCTGAATCAAACCAAGAAAAAAGGAAACAGTGATAGAAGAGTGAGAAGAAACCATTAAGTACATGGAAAGGTGTACTGAGAAAAGGGACCCAAGGATGAAGACGCAGGCTGTGTTTCCGAACAAGGGTTCTCCGCATCAATTGTGCCCATGCCAATTACGGGATTAAAGAGAAAACCATGCTTTAAACAGCTTGCCGACAGGGTGTCAGGGCCTCAACAGTTGCTCTTTCGAAGAACTGCGTCTTTCGACCGAGCTACTTGACCATCGCTGCGGAACATTCAACGCCGTCATAGAGTATTGCCGTGGGCAGTGCCACCAGGTGTGCCGATGTCAGTATCACCCGTAAAGTATACCTCAGAAGCACCTTGTCAGGCAACTCAAAGCCATTCACGGGCTTGGCGGCGGCGTCGGAACATCCGGGCGGGGCCCCAGCGGACCGGGACGCGGACGGGGCGGGGGTGTGGGCGGGGCCGAAGGGTGCAGGCTGATGCGTGGGAAGGCGTCAATGGAACACAAAGGGTCTTGAGAAGTAGTCTCTTGGTGTTCTGATTTCAAATCGTGTTGTTCCTCGTCGAGGGGGATATGGGTTGGGACGCAGTCCCTACCAAAGAGCGTTGCGTATGTAGCGGACAACATCTCGGATTATGGCGTATTGAGTTGCGAGTCTTGGTCGGTGTTGACTTTCCAGAATACGAGGAAGCCAAAATAATTAGTGGCAGTTTTGGTTTATGAAGAGATTGGGAGATGGTTAACTCGGCGGTTGCAGCTCGAACTGACTGAAGACTGGTGATGGTTCTGCTGCCATCCGAGACATTCAGAAGGACGACAGCAGCACTCCTATATACTCCCGTCACAGATCCTTCCTAAGGCTCTACCTGCGGTCATATACGTGCACACACACCTACACATCTGCTCACGCATGCATACAGACACTCCCACACGCATAGAATAGACAGTTACTTCCTGGTAGGCTACATCATCTCACCTGGAACCCAAGAGAATTGTCCAAACGCCACGGAGCTCAAGTCACTTTGTCCCGCTAAAGACCTCAAACGGCAATTGGCATAGCGCTCAGCGCGAAGAATACCGCCTTACGACATGACAACCCAGGCGTCTGTGCCAAGCATCGCGCGAGACCGGGGCGCTCTGCGGAATGGGACACCCACACTGCTCTCTCCAACTAAACCACGTCAGGAAAGGTACGTCAAGGTACATACTGCCCGACAGCTGGGCTCCCAGAAACCGGGAACAGCCAATCAGGCGGCTATGAATCTCCCAAAAGCCCGGATAGGAGGCGTACCCCTGCGACTTAGAAGTAGGCAAGCATGGTAGTGAAGGGATGCTCAACCTACTCCAAGATAGGTATTATCGGTGTGAGGGTATACGCAAGACGCGGAATGGGCGCGGAATATGAATAGACGCCGACGTGGGGGGGAGTAAATATGCCTCGTTGAAAGCCCCTGTGGTGCAACGTGTCGAGCCGAGTGCCTGGGCCTGTTCTGACCGGCCCTTCAAAAAGGTTGAAGTGCGCTTGCTCCACAAAACGTAAGCATTCTGGCAGTGTCCATGCTATCAAATTCACTGCCTTGACTATTGCCCGCGTACTAAATGAGGGTGGTAAGAGTCTAGCCAAAATGGGCCGTCATGTGAACGACGATGCCTGTCGATGTTTGGGTTCGGATCGCGAGGATATCGGGGCCGACCGAAGGATCGATGGGAACACGTAATTTGAGAGAAATAGACGCCATGCCAAAGTAGCATGAGGTTCGGAGAGGCCCCCCGTCTGGGAGACAACGGACGGGGAGTGGCTGGGAATAGGATGGTGTGGCTCGAGGCTTTTTGTCCAATGCTGAGCCAGAGAAGTCCTCCCCGAGAAGGAGGGCTGCAAAGATGAGCCACGGCCACGCTGACGTCCGGGGTGTAACGAATGTCAGAAGGAAGACGCGAGTTCCAAACCGCTCCGGGATGTCAGCGATTAGTAGATGCAAAGGAAACGGTGAGTGCAATTTGCGGTTTAGCGCAAAGCCGAAGGGACGGATTTGACCACATCCGCGTTCCACATCCCACGCTCTATACCCAGCAGGTAGGTTGGGGCAGAACGAGGGTGTAGGTCCGTAGGGCTGAAGGATTGCGAGACTTTGTCAGGCGTTGGACGACGTCCCAGGAATTTGCAGAATGCTGGCCAAGAACGGTCTGTATTTTTGTCGTTCCGGTCTTGATCAGCTCGAGTGCGCACCGTGACCTGGTATTACAAAACAGTTGACCAAGGCGAGGTGCGTTCGTTTGGCCTCGTTTGGTCTGGTTAGTTCAACTCAACTCTCACGAGAGGGCAGTGTGAGGGAACGTGACTGGGGTGGGGAGGTGAAAACAGAGGCTATGATCACAGCCGGCGGAGCGTCATCCAGTTGTAGGTTCATGAAGAAAAGGCATGCTGTAAGATGACAAAAGCAGGTTTCTTTCGTGGGAACGAGCGCTTCGCATCTCCAGAAAGTGAGGAACGCGGAGTTAAATCGATGTCATTTTCGGGCGCTCCGGCTTCAAGACCCCTGCTGCATACTTAGTACACACTCATGCAACCCTTTCGTCAATATCCCACTGCAACAATGGGAAACGAGGCAGAGGGTCAACCAACAGCCGAGACACGGTCGTCTTATCCCTGGGTGCCGGCTCTGGTGCTGGTGCTGCTTCCCTTTTGCTGGGAGCACCGGCCGTTTGGCTGTGCGGCCACTTGCTGAGCCCCGAGAGCACCGTTGCCCCTTCATCCCAGCATTCGGGTCAGCTCGGTCAGCATGATTGGTTGGGTGGGTACCCTTGATGATGGGTACATTTCTAGGCTATGCTGGTTGTCAAATGACGTTCCGCGTTTAGATGACCTGTCAGCGCGGCCCAACCCAAGCCCTTAGAGAATTTGTGTAACCGAGGAGATGAGAAGACTCTATCAGTCTTCATGCAGTTGTGGCACCCCTCTATGTACCGTGCATGTCCGTAATATCGTTGATGATATTGAATACAATAGCAATGGAGGCAGTGCTGTCGGTCTCTCCTTACATACGTAAGCAGTGGCACGGCTTTGTCAGAGGGAAGACAAAATAGCCACCCGGCTGCCTCGGGCTCGGCTTCGATTCGTTTGGCAAGAGGTTGACAATTGCCAAGCTTGGAAGCTTACTAAACCGCGGAAAGCTGCAAAAAGCGCGATTGAGATTTGCCGCAAATACAATCTACGCACCAGGTTAGTTGACTTGTCGAACTGAGAAGGGAGTAAAGTTAGTTGCGGCTGGATAGGCAACGAATGTGGCGTAAGCTCACCTGTTGTGTCGTCTATCCGACCGCCCTTCATTTCAGTCCATCGCTATCGCCGAAGCAATGTAGTCAATGGATGTATCACAAAGGCTTGAACTTCGGCAATCGATTGAAAACTTGGTTGGAGACAGGAACAGCTTTGAGTCTTCGCTGGAATAGCCGAAAGGGTCCACAGAGATATCATGCTCATGTGGTTCGATTCCACACGCCGAAGGGTTGTAGCAAAACTAGGGACCGGAACATGACTGACCGATCTGCGAGGCAAGCCATCTCCCCCATTCGTCACAACGGAGTCCAATGGGGTGGCTCGGGAGGACGCGATCAACAAAGTCATCCAGTTCCGGTTTGTCACGAATCCAGTAGCAGCGCAATCCGATACGCAGCAGTATGCACATTGCTGGTCATTTGACACGATTGAGGCTTATCTGATCATTGAACACCCCATGAGCGACAGAGGCTGGGGAATACAAGATGGAGCCTGCAGAATGGGGCAGGTCTTACTACGCAGATGTGCGTGACATATTAAGGGGTGGCGAGCGGCAATATGTCAAGAAGCGGGTAATCTAATCATCCATCTTTGCGTTATTAGCTGAGAAGGCGTACAGGCATGATCAGATCTTACGGATCAACTGATATGCCCAGGCCCGTGGCCATTCGCATGGCGGGTATCCTGGCAGACTTTTCCTCATTCCTCCCAAACGCCTTGAAATATCAAGTACCACCTTGGCAACCCACGCTCAAACATTTTGTTCATCGGTACCCACGGCCGCCTCTACGGCCACCATGTTCGCGGCTTCGGCTGGGAGACCGAGATCGACGGCTATGGTAGCTGTCGTAGCTGTCCCGGCTTGGGCTCCGTCTCCGGCGATTGCGGTCGTTACCTCGGCCTCCACCTCCACGTCTCGGAGGCGGCGAAGGAGATCTGGAGTAGGACCTGGAGCGGCTCCTGTATCTGCTGCCGCCACCTCTAGACGGCGGAGCAGCCCCGGGCGATCGTGTCGGGGAACGTGACACGGACCGAGGTCTGTAGGTGTCTGATCGAGGGCCAAATCGAGCCGGCGGCGGCGATATGCCTCGTCGGGGTCCATTTTGACCAAAGACACCAGGTCCTCCACCACCGCCGTGGGGTCCGCCCATGCCTCTACCACCACGACCTCCAAGAGGAGGGCCTCGGGGATCAAAACCTCCGCCTCGACGGGCCAGGGGAGGTGCCGGGGAAACCTTGCGTCGAGGGAGGACAATCGAAACGTTGATCACGGCGCCATCAAGCTGCGCCTCATGCATATGAGCAATAGCTTCCTCAGCATCGCCTTCGGTTTCGTAGAGGATGTAGGCAGTACCACGGTTAGTGCCATCTAGAGAAGGAGCGTCAGCCAGGTGTGGAAGATTGATTGGGCAAGAAGGGACCTTGGGTGAACAATCTAGCGCAACTTACGAGTCCTGTTGATGGGGAGGTCGAGGTCCTTGATGCGTCCATATTGACCAAAAATTTCCTCCAAGTGGTCTTCGTTAATATTTTTGGTCAGGCGCTCAACAACTATCTAATACAGGATGCCTTGTTAGCTACTTCCACTCTGAATACAGAGATTGCGGAATCCAAGTCCAAAGGGATTCTTGCCTTGGTGCTTCTGACGGCGGGGCTGGAGGCACGCCCTCGGCTGTGGCTGCGACTCTCGCCTCTGTGTCTGCCATTTCGTCGTGGGCTGGGCGATCTGGAACGCGATGAGCGTGAATCGTATGAGCGATGGCGAGCTGGCGAGCGCGACCGGTCGTCGGAGAGCGGCGTCAGAGACCTAGTGCGGGAGCGATAGCGGCCGCGCGAAGGTGAACTCGATCTGGAAGCCATTTTCGTATGTGATGATGTTTCGTCGAGGTTCAGGCTTTCGAATTGGCCTGGGCACTGGACGGATATACAATAATCAATTACGGATACAGGGAAGCGACAGGAGTTAGTCGCAAAGCGCGACCCTCTTTCCTGCCAAGGCCATACATGATTGACGTGTGGTCACGTGAGTGTGGAGCTCCTCACCGAAGTGGCTCGGTCAAAGACCTCTTTTTGTACTCCGTACATGGTGAACACCAGACGATGTCGTTCGTCTCCACATTCCAAATTAGGTTGAGCGGGTGGTATGCAAAGGTACTGTACGGATACCTGGGCAGTATACGGAGTATTAAAAGCTACCTCTGCCTACTGCCTAGATAGCTACACGCAATAACATTGCGTCAAGGAATACGTCGTCACTATTGTGGATGATGACTTTGGCAATTGGAAATATTGATTGTGCCGTGGTGTCGTGTTAGCAGAGAAGCCAGGTAGAGGCGATCTGAGATCCTCCTCGTATACCCAGACCCGTTCTGAGGCTTATTCGTGCAGCGTTCGATGCAACTAGCATATCCTGGCAGTTACACCTGTTCTAGAGTGGGGATTCCTACCGGATGACTATCGCGAGCTCCCGACCATTCCAGCTTCCCTCGCCATCACCAAAGGAGCCTTTCCTCAAGAATCACTACCGCGGATGCCCAACTAGTATATGTTAGTCGCCGAGCAGAGCCCAAACATGCTCATCATGAGACTAGAACTGAATCGGACCAAGATGAACATGGCCAGACAATGCTCAGCTTGAGCCTCGCTCAAATCGACGGGCTTTAAGCTACGAGTCGCACAAAGGAAAGTGGACAACATTACTTTGTGAATTAAATATGTTTGATTTAGGTTTTCGCTTCTGGACTCGTTGTCCAGGTTCTTAGTAATACAGATATACAATCGCTAGCAACTGCTGAAGGCCAAAAACGCCCGACGCTTGCATTGGCCATAGCAAGTTGTGTCCTTCATGCTTGAAAATGGATACTTTCAGTCCGCTGGTGTTGTGGAGATACATGGTGAAGGGCCAATTTATGTTTTACTTTTGTCCCTAGCCACGCCGTATGCCTTAGATACCTGAACGCCATAATAAACCCCTGAAAAAGCAGCGGTATCATTGATCCGCTCCACACTATGAGTCTAGCGCAACAAAAGAAACGGTTTGGCCGCTCAAGCGGACCACTCAACTACTTCCAAAGCACACATGACAAGAATCAGTGTTGATGGAAGGATCCTAAAGCAACAGGCACGTTAGAGAAATTGACAAGAAACGAATGTAAAAATGGACCACTGACCAGATGACGTAGCTCTGGAACAGAATCCTCGACATGACGCCCTCGTAGACCTCGTTGATCTGGCAAATTTGTGCCAGTTGAAGGGCGCTCGGGGCGCCGGTCAACAAGAAGCAGACAATGACGAAAATAGGGTCGTCCAAGATGCTGACTGGCACATACTTGGCAAAGATGGCCAGCACGGGAGTCATGATGAGAGTCGGGAGAAGCATACGGCACACGAGCGAGGCCACGAGGAGCCTTGTTCCGATTTGGTCTTCCTCGGGGTCGCGCTGCTTCTCACTCTTCTGGGTGTTGCGGGCGAGGTTGGCACCGAGGACCACCAGAATCAGGGGCACTGCAACTCCAGCGCTAGATTGGACAGCATCGGTGAAACTGTTCTTGACGAAGGAATCCTCCTCGAAGAAGATCTTCTGCAGAGACGGAACGGAAGCAACAACCACGGCGATAAGCATAGCCCACAGGGGAGGGTTCATGAATTCCCAGAGGAACTTGTAAAACTTGTCAGCGAAGCGGCCCAGTGCTGAGAGAACAGCCTTGGCAGCAGGCGGGAGGCGTCCGTACTGCCTCTTGAAAAAGTTGGAGGCGGAGCGCTTGGAATTCGCGACGGCGTTGTTGATGCGAGCAGGATAGCCCTGGACACCCTCGGCGGCCTCAGGCTCATCCGTGTTACGAATGCGGGGGAAAGACGATATCTCATCGCCACTTCCATCGAAAACGGGATGATTGCCGTTGAGGGGGGCGAGTCCGTTGGCCTTCGTCTTCTTGGGATAGTCGTCGTCTTCGTCTTCGGTATCGGCGGGCGAAGCCCTGGATCTACTAGCAACAGGAGTCCGGCCGGCCGGCTCGTAGTCCGACAGGTCATCACTGGATGACCTGCTAGAGGCAACGTTGCCGTCATCGTACTCATGCAAGAGTGGTGCCGACTCCCGGTCTCCAACGTAGTAATGTCCCTCTTCGACGCGCTCATCTTGGTACTCAGGGTACTTGTCCTTGGGAGCGAGCAGCACGTGATAGCCCCAACTCCAGCGCACCAACTGGCCGAGCTGCTGGAAGATGAGGAGATAAAGGATACCACGAGCACCAACTTCGTCATCGTTGTCCCCGGGGATCTTGTCCCAGTGCAGACCCTTGATGGTCTGTGAGAGGGAAAGGATCAAAGAGATGGGTAACGAGTTCGAGTTGCCAAAGACTCCCATAGCCGTGACAAAGTTGGAGGCGCGGCGGTTGAAGCCAAATAGACGCGAGACGCCAACGGATACGAGCCATGAAACGAAGGTCTGGATGATGAAGATGACGGGGATGACGGCGAGGTCGAGGAGCTTATCGGCGTTGAGCTGGGAAGCTAGCTTGGTGAAGACTAAGGGGAGAATTCGTTAGCAAGTTCTTGCCTGCAGGAGCTAATAGGCACGTACTAAGGCATGGCGTAAAGAGCATGACATTCAGATTGGCCAAGAACTTCTGTTTGTCGGCGTCGAAATGGCCCATGCGGGCAACAATGTAGCCGGGCAAGCTGACACAAACGACCTCAAGGACAGCCTCGAAGACGAGGAGGACGAGGTTGCCCATGGACGGGTGGGATTCGTGCGGCTGCTGTTGGATATCCATAAGCGGCATATCATAGGCGCCTTGAGCCATGTCGGCCAGACGATAGGACGTCGGAGGTGTCAGGTACTGCTGGTCCATTGTGTGGAAGGCAACTCCTCTTCTGAGCGTAGTTCAAGTGGTTGCGCAACGAGGGGAGGACGTTGAGCGAAGGCTGGGCGAATAACAGTAATAGATGTAGTTGGGGCTAAGGACGGAGGTCCAAGGCGGCCCAAGCAGACGGAAGGTTCTCGGGAAGGGCTTGGCGCAGTGCGTTGACACCAAGGGAAGCCCAAGGAGGCAAGAAGATGCAGGTTTGTGGTTTCGGAAGACTCGTGATAGGACGATTGCGAGAATATTTTGGCAATGTTGGCATATGTTGTTTCTGTTGTGGCCTTAAGGACGCGGTGATGTTGGGATTTTTATCGGTGATATGAACAGGGCCTCCAGAGTAAAGTTCGACCTTTTCCAGAAGTGTGCGACAAAGTTCTCATTATCTGGCAGAGAGAAACATATGGGAGGGGCGGGGGAGTATTCGATGCTGTTCGGGCGAGGTGTTGGGAAGACTACAGATGGACTGATACAGACGGAGAAAGATGGGGGGGAGAGAGAAGGGGTAAAGTAGACTAAATACGACAGCAAAGAGACTGAGTAGAAAGTAGGCCAGCCACGGAAGGCGCGACAATGCGAAGAGGGTTGATTGATAAAGCGCGAGGCAAGAAAAATGCCGAGTACCCAGAGTTTAAAAGGGTAAAAAAGGCAATCATGGCGCGAAATGGCCATGGAGCGTACTGGGCTAACGCTCCAGGGATGACGGTGGTTCACAGTGTGCCAGTTCGGCGACAGCTCACGAAGGCTGGGGGGGAGGGGGGTTCCATCATCGGTACCTAGGTACCTACATAAGGCACCTACCTACCGGCACTCACCTACCCAAGTGGGTAGGTAGCACAGTCCACAAGGGTACGTATCCAGAATGAGATCAGGTCAAGTACGGATACTCCGTACATGGACGGATATAGCAGCGGTTCCACCGCCGTCTTGTCTTGCCTCACCTCACCTGGAGCCAGTGGGGAGCATCAGGGGAGCTTGGCTCCCGTTTCCAGTGTCGGTTTCGAGACGAGACTGGGCCAGCCCAGCGAAGGAAACCGTATCAGCAGCGAAGCAGCCCGCCACCCTAACCGCTTCAGCGTCTTGACACCTCCGTCTGGTTGAATCCCTGGCTCACTCAGTGGCTTTGCCAGCCCGACGGATACATGCCGTCGGGAATCCACATGGTAGTGTCCAATCAGAGACACGCACCGGCGCACGATGACGCCGAGCCATTCGTCTTAGCAACTGATACCGAGAGGCCCCGATGGGGGTTCTCCATCCCCTCCAACCAGCAAAAACTCTGCATGCAAGGCACACCCGGCTGTTCTTGCTCCGTTTCCGCTCTCGCTGCTACTCCGTATGTGTATGTACGTGAATCACCTTGATCACCGTTTTCTTTCCTTTCTATTCCCCCCCCCCCCTCCCCCCCCCCCCCTTTGAGACCCTGAACCGGTTCCAGGCCTCAAAGTTTCCTCCTATTCTATTTTCAACTTTCTACTTGGGCTCTAACTGCCATTCCCCAATCGACAATGTAACTTGACTTTCCGCACAGTAAGATGTTTGTTTCTTGACTGCATCAGAACTAACCAAACATTTTTTTTCTTAGGAAACCATGCCATCGCTGGCTGCACCGCCATCCTGACTGCCCAACAAATGCGCTACTGATGGAGCAGGCGCAACGCTGGCCGAATGACTGACTCTTGGCAACACCGGCGCAGCCAGTGAGTATGTGGCAATAGCCTTGGCAACCACCCGATATTGAACAGAAAGAAAGAGTGAGACGGAAGGAAAAAACCCTCATGAAATTACTCTGACGTCGACGCCCATGACGGAACGAACGGCCTCAGCCTGCCTGCCTGTCCCCAGCTCAACAAGCTTAACTCGCCGGCCCACCCTTGTCCTTTCCACCATTTCCCGCCCGCTTAACCTTTCTGCCTGCAACCTGCCCGCAACCTTCCTCAGCTTCCCATCGTCCCCCGGGTTTCCGCCGCTGCGTCCATCTTTCTTGTTTCATCCGTTGTCTGATATCGCTGCCACGCACACCGTGCACACGGCCAATAACCATCGCAATATCGCAATAACATTGATGGTCCGATACGACTTAGTCTAGTATCAGACGTGGAACTATGGTGCAAACGCTATATTGAATGCCGTACCTTCTCCGAGGGGCAAATGCGCACACCGGTAGGTACCTTACCCACCCCCATCCACGCGTCGCCGTACGTCAGTTGATCGGGCCGCAGCATCTCGGGCACAAACATCCCATCCATATTGCATGTACAGCCTACAGGTAGGTAGGTAGCATACCTACTGCGTAGTAAAGCCGACCAACCACCGTCCGTCGGAACCCAGTTCTTGGTTTCAACCTACGCCCGTCCTGCTTGTTCATCTCCATATACACTGTCCAATCCAGAAATCAGACACACTTGTTGACCAGCCATCATGACGAAAGCTTATCTAGATAGATACCTTCCTTCCCTGCTGCCGCTCAACAGCCTCCCACGTGCAGTTGTTCTTCCCAAGTTCTGATCGTGGCATTGTGCGTCTTCTTGAATAAGCTCCGGCAGCGCCACCTACCCCTTCAGTTCTGCTTCCGGGATACAGGGGTCTTGCTGGTAGCTTGGCTTGAGCTTCTTCGTCCACACAGGCATCCCGTCAAGGTATATGATGCCTTCTGCCCTTCGGCTGCAGCTGCCCTCATCTCGACCACAGGTCGCTGTCCATCCCAGAACCGTATCAGATGCAGGACGAGATTGCCATTTCGTGCCGGAAGCTTGGTCTTCCATCGCGCCAAGTCTAATCCCAACACGAGCAGCATTACGCGAGACTATGCGGAGGAGGCTTGGCCGCTTCGCTTCCGATGACTCGTTATCAGATCTCCAAGAGGCACCTTTCTTCTCTTCCATGGGTCCCAGGGTTGGCCTATTGGCCAGTTCATGCCCCATTGCAGCTTTCTCCACGCCTTTGAGCGCATCGTCGTTTCGGAGAAGATGTTCTCCACCTCTTCCTTTTCTTGGCGATGCTTTCACGTTTCCCACGCTGTCACGAACACATGCTATTGGCATCAGAGTAGATCACCATGCCTAGCCGTTTATTGTTGCCAAATTGTTTATTTGAGAAAGCCGGGGGTTTCCGCCTTATCAGTTCGCTCAATCGCTCAAGGTGACAAATCAGTATTTGTTTGTTCAGGGGCATGGAATTGTCCATCTCCCTTGTCTTTGGCGGATGTCCTGTATCATATTGCTATTCTTTTGCCGGCGAGCTCAGAGGGACACCTTGAATGCAAAGTGCGCTTGTTGTTCATTTATGATGAATTGGCCAGTGAGCATTGTCTTTATCGGCCCACGGCGGTTCTCCGCAAGTTGTGATAACTTCACTGTTGGATGAGCAGCTGCTATTGTCCTCTGGGTCAGCCGGTCTCTGTACCCGCCTCGTCAGTCACCGCCACAATGCCATTCATGGCATCAAAAGAGCATGGATGCGGGAGCGTGGATATGAGGATCACAATGATGAACTAGTCTTTCTCGTCACAAATTCAAGCCTTCCTTCTCAACTTGGAGAAGGCGAGCTCTGAGAAACAAACAACCCACGATAAACGAAACTGCCTTGCCATACCCTGCTTAACCAGCAACTGCTATGCAAACTCATCACCAGCTTCACTGGTATCCAAGATGAAGCTTAGTCTGGAGCAGAAGAATCCCCTCGCGAAGAAGGTAGAGAACACCGACTCCGCCAAGGCCGCCATCCAGAATAATACCAACCAGACTGCAACGACTGGCGAGTCCTTTAGCACCGGTAAGAGCGCGGCGGCCGCCATCGCGCAGCACAAGAAGCCGCGCCGCGTCATTCGTCCCCGTCCCCAGCATGCGACTCCCCTCGATACAGTCGACGACGACGACTATGATGATTGCTGGCTTCCAGCTTACGAAGACCCGCAACCCACTGACAGGCTTGTCGATGACGACTGGGTCAGTGTCAAGAAACCGGCCTCGGCTCGTTAAGTTGCTTGATACTGACGGCGGCATGAGAAGCGGGATCGGAGCCAGATGGCTCTATTGAAACATTACAAACGGTTGACGGCGACCAGACGGACCGAACCGAGCTTCGAGCCTGAAATGTCTCGCCAATTTGTGAGATTCCCCGGGCCTTATAGATGGGCAGACTGATGAACAAACAAGGAGGCATTGGAAATACCGAGAATCGAGAACCCCCGAACTGCGCTCCCCTATGCCCCGAACAGCGCTCCCCTATACCCCGAATGCGGAACACCCCGAGAGGTTCAAGATACCTAGTCAAAAGAGAGAGATACACGATATTCGATAACGTGTGATCTGGCCCTTGCTGGTGCGTCCCTGATGAAGTGAGATACTGATAGCCAGCCGTTTTGTTCGCTGCTAATCTAAGACATATTGAGTAAAGTACGGCCTAACGGGAGAGGAAACTACTGAGAAACCCCGGGTCGCGTTCGTTGATCCAAACACCATCGTCCATAACTGAATGAAAGAGCAGTATCTACGAGGGCGGAGCAAGCCGTCTCTATCGCCAACGCATACTATCGTGTGTTGTCCCGTAGACCTCATGGCTCGTTTGAGAAACATAGTCATCTAGCTTCACGAACTTAGCATCACGTGCTTGCACATGAAGTCGACGTAATAACGACAGAAAATCCATCACAAGAAAACCGTGGTTGCATACGCCCAATCGGCCCATCACCTCTGGTCGTGGCGTATCTCCTTAGCCTTGGATGACTGACGCATAGGAACATGAGCCAAACGCGGGCTCCTTGATCAATGATATCAACCCACATCCATCATGCGCTCGAAACATGCAATTTTTTAGGGGGGTTCACTGGACTCGATGACATATGTGGGGAATGGAGGGAGACGCAAATCAGTGGGTCTGTGACGGTCTGTGGCACGGCAGGTTAAGGAGTGCATGCAATTCTGTGGCTGATGACGCCAGAGGCCGAGCTATCGAGATGTTACGTAGTCCACGAAACCCATCTTTTGACAACACGCCTGGAGGAAATCAGGAAGGAAAAGGGAAAAGACAGATGTATTGTGCGACAAGGGGTCTGAGTAAATTAGCATGGCTTCCATTGACTTTTACACAGGAACAAGATTCTCCGCTAGCAGCACAGTATTTCATGTAGCAGTATCCGTACTGGAGTGTTGCAGTGTGCTGACAGCACACAGTACACGTGTTGATAGGTACCTAGATAATTAGGTAGAGGACCCTTATTTTTTGGGCCTGTCTGACTTTCTGTTTGCATATGGATAGCGCATATCATGGGGTCGTGAAGCGAGGGATCGCGGGTAGGGAAGCCGGGCGAATACGAAACTAAACTACGTAGGTGCCTAGGCAGATCAGGAATGGGATTGTCGCGTTGATGATGACAAACCCGCAAAATGTCGATTGCGACAGTTTTTCGATTCGCCCTCGTCCTATCGGAGTATGGTGATGGTCTAAAGACCCCGCGACAACGAGAATAGTGCAACTGCACGACTGACCACAGGAGAGAATGAAGCGCAACAATGCGGTGACGGCTCTAAAGATGTCTGCCGTTAGATCTGTGATTGGATTTGACCAAGAGGCCATCCCATGGGGCATGATGTCAGACGAAAGTGAACGTCGAGGGGGTGATATGCACGCCGATAAGATAAGAGCTATGACGGAATATGGACACACGCGTCAAGCAGCAGCAATCAACTGACCGTCGTGCTTCTTCACCGGCGCCGGCTTTCCCCCCCCCCTCAAATCTCTGGCGCATAAGCGATGATGCAAAGCCGGTATAAGTGTGCCTCTTCTTGAATGTCGTCTGATGCGTGCAAAAGTCGGTGGCATGCTCCCCCAAGGCCGGCAGGCAAAGAGTCACACTTTCACACCGATGGATGTACCTAAATGAACAACGTCAGTGGGGTTCACATTTAGCGTCTGTAGCGCGGTCGTGGGAGGTTCCACGCACAAGAATTAGCGTCTCTCGTTCCGTCAAGACACAAGCTAGGTTTCACTTTTTCTCTCCCTTTTTCCCCCCCCTCTTCCACGCTATATCTCCCTCTCTTTGGCCCCGCCCTTGAACTCGCTACCTATGCTACGAGACAACGTCATCATGCCTTCCTTACACGACACCCTAGCTCGCCCAGTACTCATCCAAGCGAGACGACCGGAGACTGCGACAGGGTCGTTCGTCTTGGAGAAGGAGGGGAGCCAGCGTCCCGAGGCCTTCCTGGCTTTCTCCATCAGAGCTTGCCTTGACGGAGCTTAGTGGCGCCCGTCTCAATGTCTAGAGTGCCCGATTACTGGCTGACGTTGCTCCGACGTACAATGATGAAGGCGACATGCGCAACTGGATACTTCGGCACGATAGGTACACTAGTGTATCTGTAGTTTGGTTGCGTGGTAGGCCATCTCTTTCAATCTTCTTGCCTTGCCTCCAAGAGGTAAGCATCCTCCGGCGCCATACTATGTATGTACATCGCGTCAGATAGCTAGACTGTGGAGAGGAGACAGGGGCTTTGGATATGCATGCAGTGTCCGTTGAGGTGTGCCCTGTTCCATCCGTGACATTGCCGAAGACACCACATCACCTTGGGTAAGGAAACCGCGTACAGCCAGTTCGTCTGCTATTTTGAGAGGCATGGAGGGTAGCCCGGCGCGGCTCACTTCCTACATGGGAAAGAAAAACCAGCATTCTGGAGCATGCGCATGCGCGTCGAGATGCAACATGCGGAAAATCTTGCTGATGAGCCCCCTCCCATGCCCTACCCTGCTATGATCTCTGGTCAGTGATCAGTGATCACTGAAGAAGCCTGCTTTTTGGGGTCCGTTGTGCCTGATGCATGACCTTAAGACGACAGCCCAGCAACTCCTGCTCCCGTCTGCTGCTGGACAGTGACAGGTGCAGGAAAGACGGAAAGGCTAAGGGTGGGAAGCGAGGTTATGAAGCTTGCCGCTGTTTGGTTGTCGAGTTGTCGGAATGTTGATATCTGACAGACGAAAACCCCCTGTTCGCCGGATGAGCTTGGACATTGAAGTTGAGACTTGGGCAAAACTGGGCGGTGATGCAAGTGGCGGTGCAACCGCCACGGGGGTTGGGCATACTGGACACACACACACACACACTCACAGGCCCTTGTTATGATACCAGGCCCGATATACTCCTTTTTCCTTTTTTTTTCCTTCTCTAAAAATGACTCAATTTTTTTTTTCTCTTTTCCTTCTGCGGCATCCGTACATCAGCCCAAGCTCACCGATAAACCCTTACCTTTATGCCTGAGACCTCGAAGCAGGATCTGGGGCGAGACCAGGGCTGACCTCATACACGTAGTTGACCAGGCCCAACTGGGGTAGTCTTAACCAGGGCCGGTTAGGCTCCACAGAAATAGCATGACATAGGTAGAATGGTTCTCGACATCAAGGGCAGGAGGGAGTAGCCCACTGCGAGTCGATGAAGTACTCTCGTGTAAAAAATCGCTGTTGTCATTAAATGATCACAACTGCGTACGTACCCTGCCCAGCTACGTATGGATGTATGGATGGATGTACATCACGACCTTGATCTTCCCCTGGACTTTCCCAAATAATCTCGGCCTAGAACAAACACTGGTGATGCTCGAGTGTCTTTTCTTCCAATTAACCATACATCCACGTCCCGCATCTTACGGTCATTGCGACCCTTTCTGCAAAGCACAACTCTGATTTCCGGTGACCTCCTTAGGGGACTTGCTAAAATTGATTCGATATATATGCCCTGCTAGCTCGCTGCCCCTCCATCCCCCGTCCCATCGGAAGTGTTTCAACACACATACACACACCACAAACACACTCTTTGCTGCCTCGCCTCTGTGCGCATAGAAGCCGACAACGCAGTAGGTGAGTCGCATCTTTACCTTGGTCATCCCCATATACCGGCTTCTACTCTGTTGCTCTTCTGTGGGCTTTACCCTATTCGTCCGCATCCTGTCTTCCTTCGTTCCTAAACTCTCATGTCCAAGTCCCTTTCCCTGTCTGCCATCAAGGCAGCGGCAAGAATTGAACGCAGTCATCAAACTTTCCTTCCTCAGCCAAATGCAAGTGCACCACCTATCAAAATGGCAGAGTAGCCACACCAAGGCTCCCCGCTGGAAGGGGAAGATACGATTGGAAGTGTAGGAAAACTCGTACCTTGGTTTTCGCCCCGTCGCCTACCAGTTTCCAATTCTCAAGCCAGGTACAACGAGATACATATCCGGGTGTGTGGTCCGGCTCGTCTGTGAAGCCTGGTTGGCAGAGTGGACCAATAGGGAAGAGATTACCCACTTTTCCCCAAGTCGTCTCTGCTCCCAGGTACCTCATTTTCCCTGATGATGCCGCGGTTTACGTACCTAGATGGGGGCCAAACATGGTCAAGGTACCTTTTTTTTTTTCAACCCTTGACTGCGTTTTGTGACGTTAGCACAAATTGCGCTGGCATTTCCAATCCATCTTATCTCCCCTTGTTCGTTGGATTCTGCCACCGCCATACCTTTTTTTTTTTTTAAGTAGAAAGGAGCTTGATGGGTACTGGTTATAGAGCCTAGCATGAGGACATACCTCTCCACCTAGGTACTTACCTACCTTGCATCCCTACCTTGCCCAGGTACCTTATTACCTCACATCGAATCATCCTCTTCCTCCACCTCATCTCGCCCTCACCTCTCCTTCCTTTGACACGCCTATACCCTCTCCCACACATCTCATCTCTCTTGCTCTCCGAGCTTTCTTTATCTTCCTCTTTTTTCTCTCCCCACTCTCACTCTTCTCCGTCTTCTCGCACGATCCTCAAAGCTCACAAAACACCCCTCAGGCGATCGAAAGAGAGGGGCCAGAAACGGCAAAAAGATAAAACAAAAATAACAATCCCAACAAAATCTCGGTCTGGCCGGTCTTGCCCGCGCGCAGTTCCATTTTCGCCCCGACTTAGAGTTTGCCCTTGCCACTGCCCCGGTCGCAACCCCGACCCGACTGCTTAGTGTTAGGCCACACTACCAAAACGACCGGCGTGTCTAGCCCCGCGGCAAGCTCCTCGCTACAAACCCGAGTCTTCGATCCTCTTGTCAACGCTTACCACTGAGCGATCGACCGTTGCTACTCCCATCCTCGATTCCGCGCAACCGGTTTCCCAAAAGAGTTCGATATCTATCGAGTACCGCACTTTCGCCCACTGACCAACTATTGCCTCGGAACCACCACATGCCGCCCACGCTATAGGGTCATTCAAGACAATCTTCACCACACCCGACTCCTTCCCCCATCCTCCCCCTCCATCGACAACTGCATCAACGCTGCGAGGACAGGCCGCTTTCCGCAATGACGGACCTCAATACCCCCGACTCATTCCCTGCCACGCCTGATGGCTTGGTCGACAGAGATGGTCTCAGCAGCCCCACGTCGCCCGGTTCCGCCGATTCTTCCGAGGCTAGCACCCCACTCGAAGGCCCTTCTGAGAACCTCTCAGACTTTCCCAAGCGTGTACCCTCATTGCGAACAGTCTCCGATCCGCAAAACATGACGCCTTCTTCGACGCCCCTTGGCATGTTGAACAACGCTCGTGGACCACCTGCCCCCGCACGGCCACCTGCTACCGCCTCCATGATGAGCATGGGCAGCGGGCCGATGAACGAAGTCATGGCAAGAGCGCGAGCGCTCCACGCTCAGCGCATGCCAGGTGGCATGACTGGAGGGCTCCCGGGCAACCTTAAGCTGCCGGATGGTATGGCTAGGCCGCCCCCTGGCCACATGCCTCGATCCGCTCCTGTCATTCCGACGAAGCAACCCCCGCTCTCCAAGAGGCGGCCCATGATGAGGTTGTCTGACATGAGTGGTTCCACGCCTACGGCGTCTTCGACACCCAAGCTCTCCGATATACATGGTTCCCATAACAACGGAGGCGCGCCGAATGGAACGACAGGGTCCAAGATGGACGATTTCAAAAAGTACATCGACTCTGAGAAGGGCTGGATCACTTTTGATGGCGCTGCGACCATCACCAAAACTGGAGTGAATTTCGCCAACGGCACCGCCTTCACAATCTCTTTGGACGAAGTCGAGGTCATGGACGAACTGGGGAAGGGAAATTACGGCACTGTTTATAAAGTCAAGCACACAAAACCAAGGGTACCTCGGTTCGGAACTGGTCTGGGTGGCTTCAAGCCTGGAAGCTTAGGCACTGCGCACTCGGATCCCTCGCCCATTAGGAGACCCGACGGACCCCCGGATTCATCACCAGTGTCTGCGGCACCAGAAGCCACGTCAGGGAGAGTAATGGCCATGAAGGAGATCCGCTTGGAACTGGAGGAGGCCAAGTTCACAACGATTTTGAAGGAGCTCGTCATCTTGCACGAGTGCATATCACCTTACATCATCGATTTCTACGGGGCCTTCTTTCAAGAGGGCGCGGTATACATGTGCATTGAGTACATGGACGGCGGATCTATTGACAAGTTGTACGAAGGCGGTATCCCGGAAGGCGTACTACAAAAGATCACCTACTCAACGGTAATGGGCCTCAAGTCGTTGAAGGACGAGCATAACATCATTCACCGAGACGTGAAGCCAACGAACATCCTGGCCAATACCAGGGGCCAAGTCAAGATCTGCGATTTCGGCGTTAGCGGGAACCTCGTTGCAAGTATTGCCAAGACCAACATTGGCTGCCAGAGCTACATGGCACCCGAAAGAATATCAGGAGGTGGAATGGCTGCTGGCGCCGATGGCACCTATAGCGTGCAGAGCGATATTTGGAGTTTGGGCTTGACAGTTATCGAGTGTGCATTAGGACGGTACCCATACCCACCTGAGGTATCGTCGACGATTTTCAGCCAGCTGAGTGTGAGTCTATCAACCCACTTGCAGCAACCTATACTGACTCGGAATCACAGGCCATTGTCGAAGGCGAACCTCCCGGTCTGCCCGAGGAGGGATACTCTAGTACGGCGCATGACTTCGTCCGCAAATGTCTCAACAAGATTCCCAAGGACCGCCCGACATACGCAGCACTGCTACAACACCCCTGGATGGCGCCTTTCTCCAAGATCGAAACGATCGCCGAGGAGGCCGAGGAGGGAGATGAGGCCGAAGCCGTGGCCGAGACTGTTGGCAAACTCTCCCTGTCGTCCGGGACCGAAGATGAAGAAGTAGCAGAGTGGGTCAAGTCCGTGTTAGAGCGTAAGCGCTCTGGTCTCGTCGCTCCGGCAGCACGGCCAGCACTCCATGCCGTACCACTGGACAGTGTCAGCCCCTCACCGAGCCCCCTAGCTGGGTCGGGTGGCCAGTTGCAGTAAGCTGCCGGCCAAAAGGCCAAAAGCCTTGCGGTTGGTGGGGTGGCTCATGACATTCGACATAAAATAGCCATGCTGACCGAGCTGGCCTCAGTTAGTCTATCTTTCGGCCCTGTCCGCTTTTTTCTCTCTCTCTTCTTATTTGTTATATATCCCCAGTCAAGTATTTCTACGTTGCATCGCCAGCATACATCCTGGGTTGGCAAGGGGGTGTTCTTTACAGCGGGGTTCTTCTGGTTGTTTCTTCATTTCGTTTCATTCGTGTGGCACACCTATGACCGTCAGGGGCCGTCTAAGTACACGTCAGCAATGACGACCCCTAAATGGCTGGATAAACAGTCCTCCGTGATCCAGGTTTCCTTGAATTTCGATCGACGGGGTAACATGATGGAAAGGAGTATTGAGTAGGATGGGAGTTTTATGAGGAATGGTAGCATACACGACGACAAACCAGCATGGTCAGGATTGATACGAGGAGACGGAAAGAAAAGGAAGAAATAAAGATTACTCCAGAGCAACTTATATCACAAAGAAAGAAACTCCGCTAATTGAGCTTGGCAAAACATGCTTCGGCCTCTGAGTTGTTTATGTGGGCAACTGTGAATAATGAAGGGAAACGAAGAGAATGGTGTTTTCCGCCTCCCTCGGACTCTTGCGAGATATGTCGGATTCGGGCCGTATGAATGTAAACCGACAATGGCCCGGGGTGACAACAGTTAGGAGTCAAGATGGGTTGACAACGAACTATTATCACACCAATATGGCTTGCTGGACCGCTGTGTGATAACCGGCTTACGGGGCTTGCATCATCATGGATTCACTGAGAAGAGTGTGTACTGATTGATTATTGAAATTAGTGTGATGGATAGATTCTTTAAACGAACGGCATGTGTCGAATCCGAGGTAAAATACGCGGAACTCCAGACTTATGGAAATGGTTCCTGCCCCCTCCCCTCTCCACATAGGAGAAACGCCGGCAGAAATGCAGAAAAGAAGACAGAATAGCAGGAGTAATTACATCATGCACCGCTCAAATCACGAGAAAACAGTGTTTCCCCTTTGCAAAATAAAGACAAAACGAGGATATTCCTTTTCCAAGAAAGATTCATGCCGGTGCGTCATCATGAGTCGTTTATGCATAATCCTCCTTGACGCGGCGGCCGGCGTTGACGTCGAGGGACCTGCGGCTGTGAACGCTACGGCTGCGCTTGAAGCGGCTGCCACCGCTGTAGCCCTTGTCGCCGCGGATACCAATGCAGAAGAGGACCGTCGCAATGAGAAGAGCGGCCCAGGCGCCCCAGGTAAAGCCGAAGGCGTATGTGCCGATGTGGGCCTCGCGGCCGGCAGACAGGAACGCGTTGCGGGCCTTGACAAAGGTAGCGCTACGGTTTTCGCCCTTGTTAGTCAGGGACAAGTCTGGTTACGGGACGGGGTGGTGGGTTGGGGAGTTTGCAACATACGTCATCAGCGAGGCGGCGATGGTCAGGAAGAAGAGAGCCGAGGCGGCGACCAGGCCGGCGACGGCGGCGCCGAGACGACCGCAGCAGGCGAGGAAGCTGGCGAACCACGCCATGGCCATGAAGAAGAGGGCGATCAGGTACGTGACCCAGCCGAAGCGCCACAGGTAGAAGAACTGAGTGCTGGTGGTGCCGCCGCCGTGGCTGCCGACGAGGCCGGACGGGACGTTGGCGGCGTCGCGGCCCCAGGCCCAACCGAAAGCCGGGGCAGGCCATGCGCCCCAGCACTCAGTGTTCTGGTCATTGCAGTAGTAAAAGTAGGTCCATCGCGTGAGGCCCTCACGGGCGCCGGTAATACCCGAAGTATCGGCCTCAAGGAAATAGGTTTGGTTCAAAGGCGAGGAGTCTCGGACGGCGGAGAGGATGACGAACAGGAGGAGGACGATGGAGCCCGAGAGGAAGACGATGGCAGCGAAACCCAGGGGGGCGTCTGGAATGTCGCTGTTAGTCCAGAGAGCAGGGTTATGTTTCGCTGGCGGAAGAAGAAAACGTCAAAGATAGACAACTCACGTTTAACCATTGCGACTTGTTGTTTGTGGGGTACCGATGTCCGGCTTCGCGAAAGGTGAGTTTGCGATTCCTTGGGGTGGCTGGGTGGGACCTTTTGTGGGATGGAAAACCTGTGGGTTTGTACTCAGCGACGAATTGTTTCCATCACAGGCAAGATTGGGCGAGGTTGTGATGCGCAGGAATGCGGGAAATTGGGGTTGGACTGAGGAACGATGAGGTGAAGGATATGGGAGGTGGACACGAGTAATGCATTCTCGTCACCAGTGGGCAAAAGGTACTGTGAAGGAGGAAGAGGTATGCGAGGCAGCGGTGACAATCAGCGGGTAGACTCACCAGAAATCGTAGATGTGTTTCAGTCAGACGAAGAAGCTATAGGTAACAGGCCAGGGTAGTGCGGGATGTCTCTGGTTTATGTTTCCGATATTGTTTGTTTCTGTTTGGTCCTAACCCTTGTTTCCCGGCCGAGCAATAGCTGCGCAGTAATATGGGTACAGGGTGCAATGGAGGGAGCGGATGGATAAGTGTAGGAGCTATTGCTAGTGAAGAACGCGGGGCCTTGCTATGTCCTTGTTCTCGGTATTATGTGATACGTCAGACCGACTGACTGGTTCTTCCAGCAGACGATGCTCGAAGATGTACCGAGGTTGGTGAGGATGAACGAGAAGAGAAGAAAGAAGTAGATGACGAACGAGCAATCAGATGATGCAAACCAGATAGGTTTACGTGTGCTAGGGTGCGAGACCAAACTAGCAGGGAGAAAGAAAGCCCCCGCGTCGGCTGGACTGAGTGAGGCCTGACTGAGGATAGCTCCAACTCGCCGAGTCTTAGACCGGCGTCCAAGAGCTGAGAATACCTATCCGCCGCCGCCGGAGGAGTGTTGGTCGTTTCCCGCCTGCTTCGACAGCGCATCGTGGGAAAGCCATGACGACACACAACCGAGCCACTGCCGGACTCCACACAGCAGTGTTTTTCTTTTGTTTTCTCTCTTTCCGTCCTGTACGTTGAAGAAACACTGTGTTCGGCACCATACAAAAGGACGGCTACACAGTCTGATACCAGTCGCACACAGTACACAACAAGCACCGAGACGTCCTTGCAGTGGGCTGGGCAACAACAGACCGGACCCTCTTTCCCTTGACTGATTGACTGCCAGCGCAGGGACCTTCCTCCACCCGGCCCTCTACCCTGCCACGACGTCATCCGGAACCCGCTCTTCCCCTCTCCACATAAACTAGGCCAACCACCAGTCTAGCACCGCTTCACACGACTCAGACTCAGCAAGCCCGTTGACCGCTTTCGACTGGTCTCGCTCTCAACTATCACGGCACTAAACCCCTCCTGGGGTGGTTGCGACAAGGTTGGCCATCTTCCGCTCGATAGGTTAATCCAAATAGGGCCGTCCTCGGCTCCGTCCTAGATGACAAGGTTCCTCGCAGTCCGTAATGCGCCTCCCGTCGTCTGTTCTACTGCTTCGGCCCAATGTTTGCCAAACTACCCATCATCCCCGTCCGATAGTTTGCATCCGCCCGATGTGGCCAGAGTGGACGGCTGGAACCGAGGACTGCTTAACCTCTATATGGTGGGAACAGGCTGGAGGTCCCCTATATCGAGTCTTGTTCCTTGTTCTCTGTACCGACGCAGGGCATTTGCCTGTCCCACCGCACGATCTGCATGCTCAGCACGGAGCCCCTCGCCCTCATTGGGGACAAACCCGTATCGTGTCTTGGAGACAGTCCCTTCCTTCTCCTTCTCCTTCTCCGCCACGCGGCCTATGGACAAAATTGATGTGTACTACCTACCGTAGACGGCTCAGATGCAGTGCAGTGAGTGAACCCCCCCTCCCCCTTCCTCTGCCCATGCAATCCAATCCCAATGCCCATCAGTTCGCACACAGAGGCTTAGCCCGTGCGACTGCGTCACCTCTCGGATGTAACGGATACTATGACTTCTCCCTTGCAGTTTGACAGGCGCTCGCGGCCTCAACTTCAGCTGCCCTCCACGACCAGGCTTTGACAGCGAACCAGACTTTGTTCGCTCTACAATGCGACTGACAAATAAGACACTGCGTGGTTTCAATGGTCTCGACGTCGATTGCGCATCGGCGCCAGATCTACACGGCACAACCGGCTTTAGCCACTTGGTGGTGCGCCGGTGTCGGCTCAACGCGCTAGGAGCCTTGAATGACACATGCCTAAACAGTGTGTCGAGCTGTACCGATGTCATCACGATAAACAGCTCGTTTCGTAGTCAGCAGTTCACGACACACCGAGCTATCTGCCAGGAGCTTCTGCGTAATCACCGTGAGGCAAGGTGATATCACAGCCGAGTCAGGAATGCAAACACCAATGTCTCACCACTCCTCGAAAAGCACGACATAGTGTCTCTGAACAGATGGCTAGCGCTTGTGGGCCGTCAGGCTGCTCACCCTAAACACACAACGTCAGACTGGTGGTAGAGAAAACGAGTCCTTCTCCCAAAGCATCGGTGTAACCCAAAGGCCTCTCTGGAGTGACTGATGCCAGTCTCGAGTTGTTTGCACAACATACCGGCCCTTTCTTACCCATCAATTATGGAGATGGGCGGAGGCTGGATTAGGAGCAGGATTTCGAGTCCATCAACAGAGAGATAGGAGTTGTTGATGCGGAGAAGTTTCAATACCTAGTGATGCGACGACCACATACTATGTATTTGCACCCCGTGGCTCGTGCGCTGTCAGCGGGCAAACATTACTTATCGATAAGGTGCCGACATGAAGGATCCGCAGACCGTGGACGGTTCGTTCCGCCAGACTCTGTTCAAGCTCCATGGTCGCTCACTCACTATCCGCGCCTACGCATCATTGCCGCAGACGTAGCAAGATTTCCATCCAGACTCGCGCCCCCGTCGGTACCTGATAGCCAATGGGACCCCCTCGACCGCTTCACCGCGCCTGCACGTATTCCATTCGAGGCCTCGTTTGTCGAAGGAGTCGACCATCGGGACACGCCCAACAGCAAGCGCGATGGAGCTCTTCGCAGCCTGTGTCCAAGTTCGTCTTTCCCAAAGATGACGGCGCTGATCCGAGTGCATTACGACACATTCACCTCCATGCCTCTTTGGGTACGTTTCTGCCGTATACCTCAGCAGCCGACTTCCAGGCCTCTCTCCGCCAGGCCTTCCTTGACTGGAAATCCGCTCCCACCACCCGCGCCCCGTCCCCACTCCTCATCTCGTTCACACCGACGCCGACCTACACTCTCGGCCGGCGGCAGAAGTCTTTGACGCCGGATCAGCTCGGCCGACTCCGGCATCCCTTGAACGTGGAAATCAACAAAGGCCCAACTAATCATGGCAAGGTCGCTGTGGGGGACACCGGTTTGGGAGTGCAGCAGTTCACCCCCGAAGTCATCGAGACGGACCGTGGCGGGTTGATGACGTACCACGGACCGGGTCAGGTTGTTGTATGGCCCGTACTGGACCTGCACAGCATATACTACCCTCACCTGACTGTCCGTTCATATGCCAGACTCCTCGAGGAGACGACGCAAACCATCCTCGCCGAGGGCCCGTCCATCCAGACGTATCTCTCGGAAGAAGATCCTGGCGTATGGGCGGAATCCGCGAGACACCGACCAGGAGGTCAAGAGCGCAAGATCGCCGCGATGGGCGTCCACCTTCGCCGCCACATCTCGGGACTGGGTACGGCGCTCAACGTGGACGTTGTCGTCGACGGCGACGAGGCGTCAAACCCCTGGGCGAGGTTTGTGCCATGCGGACTCGAGGGTAAGACGGCGACCAGCGTCAGGGCCGAGGTCGGCGAAGAGACCTGGAGGCAATGGGGGGTCGCTGGCGACGGAAGGGCGAGGAGGAGCTGGTACGCGCGGAGGTGGGCCGATGAACTCGCGCGTCGGCTGGGCGTCGGCATTGCACCGGTCACAGTGCACCACTGGCTTGGGTGATCTGCCAGTCAAGGGGCGCCGAACCCGGGTACACGCTGACTATCCATGCGGTACGGCCCGTCGCCTGAGTGATGCGAGCCTTACAGCCATCGATGTCCGACAAGCATGACAAAATACGCTGCGCTGCGTGTGTCTCCGGATCCCCTCCGGTTACCCCGTTTCCCACCATGGGCATTGGACAAATTTCTGTCGGATTGATCTTTGGGCTACTGATCTGCGGATTGCAAGAATCCTGCACTGTCCTCCATCCTTTCTTTGCACGTTTGGCCGTTATTCCCGGGGTAAGCAAGGCAGTGTGACACTCGCCCACCCGTTGTGAGTGACCGGGCTACTGTAAATATATCGCACGCATAAAGATACCCCCACTATTTTGTCAAGTGCGCCGAGGCCCTCTCTGATTCCAAGACACGGAAGAATGTATATAGTGTATGTAGGAGCGGGCTCTTGATCGGCGACAGAGACGGGACTTCTGGTTACAACCCACCGAGGCGGGGCACGCCATTGTTCTGGCGATATTTCTCCCTCGGATCTGCCCCCAATCCCATCCCACGAAAGGATAGGATCACCACCACATCATGCCACAACATGATCTGATCAAGGCACGTGCACATGGAAATCGGCAAAATGACTGAGGCCCCAAGTTCATGGAGATGAATAAGCACCGCTGGCGTGCCCTCTCGTCCAAGCGCCAGTATGAGTGTGGTGTGAGTCGGGAGGGGAAACCCTAACAGAGGCATCATAAGCAATGTATGACTGGTACAAACAGGGTTAAAACGCCGATGCTATGTTGAGTGACATCCCCAAGGGACAGGCGCTCCCGCCAAGAAAGCCGTAAAAGACAAACCCCTCTCCATCGTAAGTCATGGTGATGATTCCCTTCCCTCTGCGCAAAAGATATAACGTTGGGTAGATAACCACAAGCCAAATCAGATCAGTTTTGGTTGCCTTCCCTTAATGATGCAAACCCACCAAACCAGCCCCATTGCCGCAAGCATCTCCTGAAAGATAAAGGTGACGAACTCCCATGGAATACCAACCGTTGTTTCTCAGACTTTGACACTGCCACGCGACTCAATCCATCATTTGCAGCAGGCTTCCCGTCAAGAGTGCCCGTGGCAATATGTGCGTTTCATCACCGGATCACTGTCACGACACTGTCCAATGGCGCCGTTATCCCATGGCCATCATTTTCTAATGGTCCGACCTGACTTTGCTCTTCTTTTTGGCGTTCGGAACCCTCTCATGATGCCCGTCATCGTCTGGTGTCCATTCTTCGGGGTGGAAATGAGGGTTGTTGTAATGCGCCTTGTTGAAATGGCTATTCTTAAACATGGCCGTCGTAAAGCTAGGTTCCTGGAAACCGGACGGGGCCGAGCGAATCGAAGGTTGCGTAGAGCTGGCGTTGTTAAGATGCCAGCACTGGTGACTAAACCTTAGTTGATAGTCGACAGGCTGTGTAGGCTTCACGGGGGCAGGGACTGGTGGCTGGGGCTGAGATGCTGTCTGAGGCCGAGGGCGGGGAGCTGACACAGGTTGCTGCTGTTGCTGCTGCATGTGCTCGGAATACGGCGCCGCGAGCCAAGGAGATTGCGACGGCGGATCGAAGGCATCCGGCAAAGGTGAGGTTGAGGTGGGAGAACCTAGTGAGGACAAACATGAGGACAAGCCCGAGGACAAACCGGAAGCCGGGCCGCCAAAGCCAGGCAGCATGGCCAGTGGACCATAATTAATATTGGCATAGCTATGGAGCGACGTCGCCACGCTCCCAATGTCGTGCCGGTGAGAAAATGAAGTGGCGCGGTTGACCTGCAGGCTCAGAGGCGCAGGGTTCGGGGGCGACTTGTAAAGGATGTCGTAGTGGTCAGGTCGGTAAAGCAGGTAAATGATGGAGCCTAGGTTGGCGGGATCCTGGCCGTTGGCCTCGTCGGGGAAGCGGTAAATGTTGACTTGGCTGCCTGGGCTCCGATCGAGATATGCTATTTCTAGCACGAAGTTGACGGGCTTTAGCAGCACCTGTGCAAGAAGCGTGATGCCGAGATGCTCAATCTCCCTGTTGGGACGCTCGAGCTCGGCGCAGTAGCCGGCAATACCCGTTTCGGCGGGGATGAAGGGCTCGTATGACTCGGGGTTTCCCTTCAGCCATGAGCTCGCCAATAGCCGAAGGTGATATATGATGGCATTGGAGACGTCCTGGTCGTTGAAGCGCTGGACCAAGATGTGCATGGCCAATTGAGGATTGGTGACGTTCTGAGCTAGCTCTTTCAGGAGAGCGATCGTCTCTTCCACCATGTCTTCGAATAGCATCTTGTCGTAACCGCCTACGCGAAGGAGGTACTGATCAAGGCTCTGGATGCGGGCGGCCTCGCCAAGTATCTCGTGCTGATCGCCATTATTCACGAGGTGCTCAAAGTAAGAAAAGCCAATTGCTAGAGGCAAACATTAGCCAATGATACATGTACCTCAGCTACCAGGCTTTGCCGCGGTCCAAGGCTGGCTTGGCTATGGAGTGAGGGGTGCCACAATTCCACCGAACGTGGTATGCTAACAGCTCCGAAGCCATACCATGCCATCCTTGGAGGGTGGGAACACGGGGGGTAGTGGGCGGCGGCGATGATGGATGTAGTGCACTAAACAGTGGGATCTCGAACAGTTGAACTCACCTCGCCAGCCGCAATTGCCATCCCCTTGGATGGGCCGGTAGTGCGAGTAGGTCTGCGGGAGGCTCTGTCGGGAAACGACGAGGGGACGGATTAGTCAACGTTGAGATGGGGAGGAAATTGGAGTGAAGAAATGGGCGGTGAGGACTCACAATTGTCTTCGCGACATAAATGTCGTCGGCCTTGGCGTATTCGTCGGTGATGGCGTCGCTCGTGGTCTTGTCGCCCACTAATGGACCCTACAAAGGTGGCGCAAAGCATGTCAGTGTACGTCGCAAAGGAGTATTGCATTTTGCTACAGCTCTTGGACACAAGAACGGCGGACGATGAGTGGGGAGGGTGCTTGAGAGGTTGCGCGAAGCTGAAGGGCTGAGAAGGTTGAAGCTGAATGAGAAAGCGCGGGGCGCTTCGGTCCGCATGGAGCTTAGGCTCACAGGCGGGGGGTCGGGGCGACGGGCAAAACTCACCTCCAGTTGCGGTTGATAGTCCCTCGCCGCAGCTTCCTGGGCGGCGAGATCGGAGGGATCGCCGGGCTCCATGGTGGACAGACGAGTGCTCGCAGAGTGGGCAATGCTTGGAGCAGCGAGGGCGATGCAGGCGTTGTTGTTGTTATCGTCGTCGTCGTTGTTGTTGGGGTTGGTGGTGGTGGTGGTGTTGGGGTTGGAGTTGTAAAAGGCAGGAGAGGCAGATATAGCAGATGCAGCTCCGGGGTACGCGTGCTGGTGGTGGTTGGAGAAGGAGTGGGAGTAGGACGAGTTGGAATTGGAGAGGGAGCAGCGGGAGGAGGATGCGGTGGGAGAGGATGCGCCGGGGCTGCTGCGGTTATGGTTTGGGTTTGGGTTTTGGTGACTATGATTATGGTTATGATGGAAGTGGGCTGCGACAGCGGGAGCGGGAGGGCCGGAGGCTGCAGTGGAAACGGCAACAACGGACGACGTGGAGGAAGAAGACGAAGGGGCAGGAAGGGAAGAAGAAGAAGAAGAAGACGAGGAAGAGGAATAGAGGCCGTTTCCGGTAGCAGCACCACCAGCAAGTTGAAAAACACCGCCGACTCGCTCTCCGAAAGTTGCTGCGTGAGATGCACGAGTAGAACCGGGACCCGAGGGAGAATAAGCCCGTCCAGACCCAAATACAGACACAGGTCCATGATGACCTTGACCTGGTGGTGTTGGTGTTTTAGTAGCCGCTCCCGCAACCGCCGTCGTTGCTGTTGGGGGCGCCTGCTGTTGGGCATGTCCATGTTGCTGCCGCTGCCGCTGCTGTCGTCGCTGCTGGAGCCGTCCCTGTTCATGTGCCTGTACCTGTGCCTGGGCTACTAGCGACATTGACCTGCTGGGGCCTGCAGCTTCGCCGCCCAAAGATGGCGATTGCGACTGTGATTGTAACTGCAACGGCGACTGCAGTGCGCTGGAACTCAGGTGGTCCAGACCCAACCCCAGGTCCATGTCGACGACGCCCAGCCCCAGTCGCAAGCCATCATTGCCACCACCGCCGCCCATCACCGCAGGGCCACCCATGCTGTGCCCTTGCCCAGTTGCTTGTCTGATGTCCATTCCCGTGCTCGTCGATGAACCCACACCAGCTCCAGCTCCGGACCCAGCTTGGCTCTGATTCGCCATAGCTCCTGCTGCCGCTGCGACCAGCGGCGTCGGCGAGAAGCTGTAGTCGCCAACGCCAACTCCGCCGTCGCTTACCATCATCATCCCTCCAAGCCGCTCCCCACCTTCCATGGTAATAATATCGTATCCTCCTCCATGACTGGAACAGGATTGATCTTGAGACCGTGGCTCGTGGGACTGGCTGTAAGACCGAGGGTTGAGATGGGTGTACGGTTGAGGGGATGCATGAAACGCAAAAGGCGTTGGTTGAGGCTGGAACATGGCCTCGCTGACGCCGTGGCTGCTCTTCCCTTGCTTCGGCTCGGCTTTGCTATCGGCCTGTTTGGCTTTGTGTCGGATCCCTCGCTGTCGATGTCTTGAGACCCTCGCCTACAATTGGCGTGAAAGTGCGGTAAGGCGATGCGCAAAGCTGCCGCTATTGCTGACGACTCATGCAAATTTGTCTTATGCTGAGCCCCCGACGCTGGGCCGATGCGCAGGTGATTGGTGAGATGAGGGGAAGAGATGCGCAGAGAGAGGAATAGCCAGGGAACCGGAAAGAAAGGAGGACAGATGCAGGACGATTGTTGCAAACGATCGAGTGAGAAGAGGGAGGGAGGAGGCCGAATTAACAACAAATCAGGCGGACAACGCAATGGGTGCGATCCGATACACCAACAAGTCCCAATCCAGACCCGGGGGTCAGGGAATTAGTGTGTAATAAACGAGCAACAAATAAGATGACCACCCTCAGTAACAGGCCGCCTAGATTTCAGTCCAACTGAAGGAGTCGAGAAAGAAGAAATAAAGTGACGTTCCCTCTCGCACACGCACACACACACACACACACATACACAAAGTTTGGGGTTCGAGTAAGGCCAGCTAAAGCAGCCCAACGGATATCCCACCAAGTCGCATGTATACGCCTTGGCTGGCGGCGTCGAATGAAAAGCTTGGATACTGGGGGGGGGGTGGGCGATAGTGCAGAAATTCGACGGCCTTCCAACCTAGGGTATGATATGACCTATGGTTTTGCGGCGTGCGTCTGTCCATTCATTCACTTCCTTCCTGGAGTCAGCGCGTCGACAAGCCTACGTTTAGCGTGGACTATTGGGAGTCTCGAACGCCAGCCGATTTGTTCGATCGTCTCTGGGGTCCGCTTCTGGTCGTTGCCGTGAGAGTGGTCCGATGCGGTGTGTCTAGGGGCGGGGGGGTGGCAGGATTACGCTGTAGTGGCCACTTCGGTCCTGGCCTGACACCTTCTGTTTGCTTGTCCTGGGCGTTGGTGTGTTTGGCAATGTGCTCAGCCGTGCTGGATCCGGTGCGAATGGGTGTCCTCGATTGGCTGTATCCAGTTCGCTCTCCCAAGTCTGTTGGTAGGTTACCCGAGCTGAACCGTTTTGGATGAATGGTTGATGGTGTGGTGGAATAGCTCGATATGATGTGATGAGCGTGCCGCAGCGAGTGATGGGCGAACGAGGTACGGTAGGGCGGAGGAGCCCGGTATCACGGTCTAGCACACTGGGTGCCAATGCTGCTGCTGACAACAATGGCGGAGGGACTAGCCGATGTAAGTGAATGCCAGCTGAGCGGCAGGATTGGGGAAATGATACAGGGCGGTGAGGTCGAATATGAAAGATTGGGAGGAAGATGGAAACGAGGAAGGAAAGGGGGATCGGATCAGGTCAAGTAAAGGGAAGGGGAGAAAAGGGAAGGGGAAGGAGAAGAAGCGTAAGTTAGCAAACACCGATTGAGAAAACACAAGGGCCACTTGACTGCCAACCCAGGCGGCCGGCCCATGTAAGGTAGGTAGTGTCCGTAATACGGCTGGTTAAGAGGATGGCAGACAAAAACGCGAGGAAACCGATGTGGCATGCCCTATGATAACATTGGTTGCACCAAGAACAGGCGATGGGAGCTAGCATGTCACAACGCTGGGGGGCAATAGCATCGATAACCGCATGTGCAGGGCAGAGATGTACGGAGTAGAGAGAGCAGTACCTAGTGATATCAGAGCAACAGTGAGATGAGGAACAGCGGTATCGGCTAGGGTCCAGCCAGTAGCACGCTTGCACCACCACAAAGTACGTTCAGTGCCGCGCCGTGCCTCTGTCAAGATGAGACTAGGGTACGTATTTCTGATGCAAGGCAGGGGGATGCAGGGGACGATGAACCAAGGACGGACATTGGACAGAGAATGGGCGAAAGAGAGAGAGAGAGAGAGAGAGAGACAGGCACAGAGAATGGCAGGCGCACAAAGTGTGATGGATGGCAGCCGTGCCATAGTCATGATGGGGGAGCCGTGGCCCTGGCTCAAGCACGTATAGGTAGGTAGTCTTCTTGCAGCATACTATCCATAGCATGGTCAGACAATATACACAAAAGTGCAGACATACTCGGCGGACGGAGACTGGGGGCGAAGAGGGGCGAGGTGCTGGGACGGGGGTTGAATTACGGATCTGCGCCCATCCAGTCCGTGCCGCGAGCAACGAGGCGGCATATCCACCGTCTGTCTGTCTGCAAGGTACCCTCGGATCAATTCCTGGCCCAAGCTACATAAGTAAGAAAGCAAAAACAAAAAAGAGCTAACGGATGACCCATCAACTATCATTAAACGAACATGGTGGAGCAGAAAACCCTCGAGGGGGTGATTGACGAGTGTACGGATACGGATACTGGACGAGGGGAATAAATGAGAGACGTGGAAGGACAAAGGGAAACGAGCAATGACCTGACGGTCCTGGTTCGCAGCTAGGCCTGGCCCGGTCTGGCGTGACCGGCTCTGCATCATGCTCTCCTGCAAGTCGTCAATTGGTCCATACTCGGACTCCTGTCGTCGACCATCCCTAAGTCTAGCCAAAAGGGCAAGATTGGCGAGGGAGACGGGTAGTGGACAGGATGTGGCGGTACAGTGAGTTACAGCAGAGACATCCGTGTTATGATATTGCGTGCGAAGGATACACGATGCATGTACTTGAGGACGATGTATATGTAGTGTAAGTATCCGTATCCATCCGTACACTACATACCTACGTGCCTACCTACCCACCTGGGTAGTTTTCGGGGGGGATCCTGCGTAGTATGCCTGCCCATCTGCTCTTATACCCGTCTGTGCTTCGACAAGGGCGTGCGGGTGGGGTAAATGTCTTGGGAGCATGCCGTATTGTTGATCGTGGCTGGTGCCGATTTCTTATCTCGATGATTGAGAATGAATGGACTGGCGTGGTTCGAAGAAGGAGCGTTGTAACCCTTTTCCGCCAAGAGGCGGAAGGATGCCTACATGCCTACATGCCTACCTGCCTACCTGCCAACCTGCCTACCTGCCTACCTGCCTACCTGCCTACCTGCCTGCCTGCCTGCCTTCGATTTGTGGAGGTCTGTGTCAAAGGGCAACCGTAGTTCCTTCCTCGCCATTGTTCATGTCTTAGTAGTATCCGTACACTGCCCAGGTACACTACCTATAGGTAGGTACGTGTTAAGAAAAGAGGTAACGGTAGGCAAGCGTCGAGAATCCTGGTGCAATGGCGACAACCAATTGTCGAGGAGGAAAGCGCGGCTAACCGAGCATTCGGTCTCCGGCAGGCAGGCAGGCGGGCAGGCAGGTATAAATCATCGTCACCTTCCGCTCGCAAGCTCAGAGACAAGGGCTGTCGAGTCTCCCTGTCACCCTACTGGTGCACAAGAGCTCGGAGAGTCACCCGCCAATGAAGCAAGGATGGCAGTTTAAGAAGAGGCCGAGCCAGGGGGGGGGGCCTGTATTTCACCGTTCGAACAAGCAAGGATCTGGCTGACAGCTGCCCCACACTACGGATACCTAGTGTAGTTATCCGTATTCCCACGAAAACTAGCCCGCTCACAGCTTCCAACGTGCCAGACCAGACCACCATCTAAGAACTGAAGCACCCCTTGGCATCCCAGCACCTTGCCAAAGTACCCAAGATGCCAGTTCTCGTGCCATGTACCTACCTACCTACGTAGGTAGTGTACAAGGAGGCAGACAAGCGCATCGTGCGCACGCACCCGCTGTGCCGCTGTGGCTATCTACCTAGTGTGCGGATAGTTGCTCATGTCGTATCCGTAGTGCCTATTCAAGTCTATCCATCGTGATCGTCTCTCTTTCTCTCCACGGCCATACTTGCTGGTTTCATAGCCATGATTCCTTTACATTTGCTTCTCTGTATCCATTGGCGTCGCAGATGCAGCTCTGCCAATGCAGTCACGTATCTTTACTCCCTGGCACCATCGACCCTGGTTAGAGCATCATCTAAAAGCATCGAGTGAGTCTCCGCAAGAGGGACCAATGCGTTTTCGCTTGTTCTCTCGCCAGTCCTTTGTAATCTTTAGTCTGTCAAATAAATGCAACTTGAAGTGGGCAAGGGTGACGAGGCACGCAAGAAGCGCGACAGCTACGGCGACGACAATGTCAATGTGAGCTGTCAATTCTCTTCTATTGTTTCTACAGAGAGCCCCTCCGGTGTCAGACTTTCTTTCACATAGCTTCCAGGCTCTGACCGCTCAGCATCTGGTAGGTACCATCCCCGTTAGGGCTTCCAGTGATTGCTTTAGTGGTCTGCCCTTTGTACTGCAACCTTACTGGGTTAATGTTATACGAAAGCCGGCTTACACCAAAAACCGGCCTAGCGCAACCTGTTGAGCTTACATGACATGGCGACGCGCCTGTCAGTTGACGGCAGCCCGCTGCCCCCTCCCATTATTTTGAGCTACCGAGTATAGCCAATCCCGGTACATCCCATCGCCCAGGGCCAAGCATGCGTCCCCGCGTTCCTGATCCACAGTTCCAACTAGTTACGGCGGAAGGCCATTGAATAAAGGCACAGATGAACGATATCGGGGATACCATCTAGTAGACCTAGGCGACGTCAGTGAGCGCGAGGCCCGGTGGCAAGGTCTAGCCGCCCGTGAACGAGATGCTGAGGGCAGGTAGTAAAGGATTATATGATACCAATTGGTCCAGTGGCGAGGTGTCAGTTAACTATACGAACTGTGCAGGCCATAATCAAGTTTTTTCTTCCATCCATGGAAAATCTTCCACTAGTCCCATGCTAGCTAGTACCTAGAGACAACATCTCACATGGTCAACATGCTCTATGGGAGTCGCCGAGGAAATGGCGACAGCTCGGTTGGAGTTGGAGGCGACTGAACACTCGGTTTCCTGTATTCTGGGACTTGGATTGCAGAGGAATGCGAAAGAAAAGAAGGAAAAGACGCGGCCTAGCCTCTCAGTGACGAGAGAGCAGTACGAGCCGACTGAATGGTTTATGTTCACGGCCCAAGGATCCATCAAGGTCTCCGTCATGAAACTGACCTGGGAGATCCCGCAATCGTGCGTGCGCTCTTCATTTCGGTGTACTCCTTGTCGGAGTCTGGCAGTCTCAACCCGCGAGTCCAGGAATCGTATCACATATCCCATGCGGCTGATTGGGGTTGTGGGACTGCTCGACGGCCTGTTCCGCGCACGATTGTCCGAAGGACCGGTGGATTCTCAGGGGTGTGATAATGTGCATTTGGCAATTGCGGTCTTATCGGACCGTAGTGTACGGATAGAAACGCGGAGGCACCTCGAGATCTGCGCCCACTTTATGCCCTTACCTATGTCCTGAGTTGACGCTACTCACGCATTTACAACGAAACCCTGATCTGCGAACAGATACGAAAGGCTCTTCACCGATTCAGATTACTACCGAGTTCATTCATTTTCTTTTCATCGGCCCTCGATGCCATGAATAGCTTGCAAATCTGTCAAACTTGTGTTGAGCCCGCTGCAAACGCGGCGATCCCAGTGAGAGAACAGGCGATTTAAACCTTGCATGTCTCGAACTTTGACTCTCTCCATTTGCATTACGGCGAGAGGACCGGTGCACGACACAACCGCATAATAATGAATCCAAGCATGGGGGTGTCACATGCCTACACGTTCTCGTTAGGCCAGTCTGGTATCTTTACGATGCTCCATTAGGGACGTTGTACAAGGTGCGTCAGGCACACCAATTCCATCCCATATGAGCATAAGAGAGAGACGCCACAATGTCCAGTCTAGCATCTAATCATCACAAAACTCACGGTAATCAACAATCGCGTGCGTCAAAATAAAGGGGAGTCACCTCCAAAATGACAACGTTGCTCGTGGTTACTACTGAGTAGTAGGCCCTGAGGAAATAGGTCATGAGTACGGAGTAGCGGTGGAAAGAATGGGGTAGACAGGGTGGCATTCGGGCTTAGTCCATTTCTACCGTGGTCTGGCGCTCCGTTTCTGCTCTGATAACCATCTGCGTAGTAGAGGGCTCCATGGCATATCCTTTTGCAGTCCCTCGGTAAAAGGACCTATGGATTATCCTTGAATCCGCCTCTTTCGCCTCCTGCTGTGTTCAAGCTCAATGCAAAAGAGTCGCGAATCCGAGACTTCATGGGCGTGGTTCTGAACTTTTGACAATGTCGCCAACCTCGTATCCTATTCGTGGCCTCTTACGCTGTTGAGCTCGTCAGCCACGCCTGCGAGAATCGGCTTTCACAGCCCGGGGCGGCGAAGAGCAATGGGTCGCCGGATCTCGTTAATCCCACGGGGGGGCTCAGCGCAGTTGCCAACGACGGCATGCGGGAGAGAGCTGTTGGAATCTTTACTACACCAAGCTAAGATGCCAACTCTCGTGAAGCGACGGACGTTCTGACTGCTCTCGCACTGCTCTCGGGAACCTCTTGAACCTTAACGGCAAGATGCGGGAGTACGCTTCCCGGACAACACACAGTCGGGAAATGTTCCCAGGACTCAAGACCAGGCGAATAATCAAAGGCCGCGCGCGTACGAATATTCGTTCAAATGTGGGAGGGCCTATTCGTAACAATCATTGTCAGGTTTATGGCCATTAGGTTCGGTCCTCGACAACATCGACGGGGTACAAAAGCCACCCCCAGATCCTGTATCCCCCTTCGCGGAGAAAATCGCAAGCTTCGTGCTATCCTTCCCCTTCAAGAAGACCCATATTGCGGAATGCAAACACCCATCATATAGACAAACACTCTCGCGCATCCAAACATATCGCAACAAAGACCCGACTCCACCCCGGCCGTAGGCCGCACCGGTCCCATAGCAAGTCCCGGATGCTCGTTTGCCTCGCCTTCTTTCCTGCCCTCCTCGCTTCATGCCGTGTGACGCAGGCTGCGGCATCCAGTCATCGACCTGTTAATCCCCGCGGCGACACAAAGCCGTCTGCGTAGCCATCCTGGGCTGAACCTGCCGCTCATTTCTTCACGGTGTTGAGTATGCATGCATAAAGTAGTTGCATAGCCGGATACCTCCACGAGGTCGTGTTTCTATTTACAAAACTTCTATTATCGTGTTGATCATCGGCCATGGTATTCATGCTGTGTTTTTCCCGACTGTTTCAGTATCATTGTGAATTTGTGCGACTACAAATGGGCGTCTGCTTTAAATACATGCATCAGTTGAGTCTTCATTTGCCTTGTACTCGGTCGAGAGAAAGAGAGAACGGGGAGCGGCTGGACTATAAGAAAGCAGACAAGGTGCAAGCCTCCTGTAGATAACCCATGATTGTATTGTACATGATTGTGCACTCTATGTCCATTGCAGACGTCTAAGTGGCCGTACCGGCTTCGATCTTTGATACTCCAAATGAAGTAAAAATATGTGGTACCTCTTGAGGTCACACAGGTGCGCATGGTGGGATGGCATCTAATGTAACTGGGGAGTCACCATGGTTAATTTCTGCTTCCGGAATGTGAGTATGATACTGTCTCTGAACAAGGTTCATATGTATTGGAGGAAGTGACAAAAGACATCCATCATGCTGTGTAACGTGAGAGGTGCCCACACGAAACCTCCGGCCAGGGCTTGGTCAGATACAACCCACACAGCGTTAAACAACCATAGTTACGGTAGCTCCACGAAAACCGGCGAGAACATCTACCAAGGGGGTATACTGCCCTTAGGAAGGAGGAGTACATCAGCACGATGGTTGGTCGGCACCACTATTCGGACAGGCAGCACAACAAGGCCAAGGGTAAGTAAAGTTCTGCGGCTTGATGCTATGCTGAGGAACCATTAGGAGCGTCCCTTCTGGCCGTTCTGCTCGGCTCCAATTCCGTCAGACCCGACGGCTGAAGGCTTAAACTTAATATCTGCTCTACTATATGCGCTTTTCCTCTGCTGCGTGTTTCATGTTGGTTGTGGAGACGAGGACGTCGTATTCCAGCATATATCTAAGGAAGAGAGAAAGAGAGCAGATACGTACATCACTCTCCGATCCCAAAGAGGTCTCGAGAGTCTGCTTCTTTTGAAGCATGCACCATGGGTTTGTACGTACAAACTAGCCATTCGAACAGACAGAGCCGAAAGTTTGACTTTTCAAGACAAACAATGCAAACCAGTATGGCCAACCCGTTGGGAAGCTACCTCTCAAAATGCCCGCATGTCATCGTTGAACATAGCCCCTACTTCCCCTCCCTTTTCTGGTTCTCATGTCTTTTACCTCCGGGGTTCCACGAGGTTCAGGAAATTTCGGCGGATCAAGCGACTTGCAGCGGGAAGATGCTTCTGGTCTTTTCCCTAAGAGGAACCGGATGCTCCCACCTTGCTCACTGTCATACATGCTGTACCTGCTCGTGGAAGCATTGCAGGATAAAACGGGTTGTTTGTTTGGACGGCAATTCTGTGTTATCTTTTGAAGTTCTCAATTCTGCTTTCTCGTCCCTTCTCTCCGTACTCGGCGCTTTGCCGCCATTAACCTCAATGAGGCCTCATGTGTGTTTCCGTCGTCTGTCGCGTCAAGTCAACAGATGCGAGGCAGCAGTTGCCAATCAAGTCTACCTAGTCCATCTGCCCATAAACTCCGGCCCATGCTCTTACCCATACACATCAGGTCCACAAAGGCATCACTCCCTTGCCCTTCCGTCCAGGCCCACGCGGGTGACCTCGTAAACCGCCACTTCTGGGTGTCATGCCGCCACCAATCAGCTCCATGGCCTGCTCGTCAGTGGGGAAATCAGTTGACCGGAAGCCATCTCCCTCCTTGAATACGGTCGCGTAGAGGCTGGAGACGGATTGCGTAAGCTCATACAACGCCTTGGTGCGGTCACTATCCGCGTCTGACTGAATCTCGAGCGTGCCAGCCTGCTGGTCAATCTTGCCATCGATCTTGCCGTCAACGATCAGGAAGCCAAGGATGTCCTGAACCTCGGGCTCCGAGATCTTGAGCTGTTTAGCGATCCAGCCTAGCTTCATTCGTGTGTATGGTGCAATGAGTTTGATGACGCCCTTGGTGCGCATATTGCGCGTCACCTCATCAATATTTTCGGCGATGAAAGGGTCGGCAAGGATGTCTTGGTTCTTCTGGAGGACGTTCTCGTAGGCATGAACGTCGTCGCGCTGATAGGCATCCACTAGCTCCGTCATGGCAGTGATACGAGGATCTTGTTTGTATGGCTTGGTCTCTTGCGAGTCAAATGGGTTGATGGTTGACTTGACCAGCATGGTCGTAAGAAGCAGGTACTTTAGTACCTGGATGCGCTGCAGCGAGCCGGCCTCATCATAATTGCGGAAGGACTCGAAGAAGTCTGTCTGGGCCTCGACCCAGTTCTCCTCGCTCATGTGCATCTTTCCACCGCACTCGCGGATGATGCCCATAATCTTGGGGTGGGGAACAGCCGATCGTACCTTCAGGGCGCGCTGGTAGAGGCGCTTGAGCTGCTTGTTGTTCTTGGTCTCAGCGTGCATCTGGATCTCGAGGGCGTATATTTCCATAGAATAAGTGCCTTTGCTGGGATCGTCGCTGCCGTCTTCCTTCTGACAAGCTTTGTGGAGATCCCGAAGCTTCTTGGTGACAATGTTGTAGTCCTTTCGGTCAAGCAGGAGTTTCGCAAGCTTGATGTTTGTCTTGAGCCACAGCCTCTCGTTGTTGGTGCTCTGAAAGCTCTCGAGCGTTAGCGAGTAGAATTTCTCGACACACGCTACTGCCTTGGGTCCATCCGACCCTTTCTCGATGTAGTCCAGCATATTGTTGATCGACTTCTCAGAGTAGTTCCTCGTCACAGCCGACTTAACATACGTCAGTAGCTCGGCATAGTGCTCTGTCGCCTGATCTCAGTGTCAGCATTTGCCGTCTCCCATTGTATCTCGCCCCGAAACCCCGGTATTACCTTTTCATATTGCCCCAGCTTGAACTCAAGCTTGATGGCTTGCTTTAATCCTTTGAACCCCCATTCGCCCTTTTCATCTTCTAATGGTGGTATGCCTAAGAACTCAGCAATGGCATCCTCGGGATCGGTGAGCTTCAGCTGCTTCGCATTGTAGTATTTGTTCTCGATGCCGACATCTCCGGAGTCCTCCTCGTCGTCTTCCTCGTACTCGAAATCATACCTGCTTTAGGGTTAGCTCCAGCGATTTCCACAATGATATCGGGGTATAAATCCCCAGTTGAGGGGAGCTCACTGCTCCTCATCCGACTCCTGCATGAAGTCTTCGTCGTCAGACATCTTAGCAGAGGATTGTGGATGGGCGTAAGACGAGAAGATCGATTACGGCTGGGACTTGACTAAAGGATCTCTTGATACAGGATCGCAAGAGGAAAGAAGTTGACGATGTTCGGTTTGTTGTTCCAAGGCGTAATGCTAATTGATGGAAGTGCCAGAGTGCCTAGCTGGGCATGGGACGTTGGAGGCGGGGGAGCTTATCGATTGGCGGACCCACCAGATACATCTGATTACGCACTGACCAGGCAGGCGGGAGGCAACTTTTCCAGGTGCCCAGCCACGCCAGCCTTCTACGCAGTTTCCAAACTCGAATCAATCAACGCCATCCGCCACGAACGCTTTTCCACGTCGCGCATCCCCATAACCCCGCCGAACCTCATTTCAACATCTCGCGAGAACAGTCGGCAAAATGGGTGGCGATCTCAACTTGAAGAAGAGTTTCCACCCTTCTCTTATTAAGAACCAGGCCAAGGTCTGGGAGGAGGAACGGAAGGCTCTCGAAGAGCGCAAGAAAACACAGCAGAGGATCAACGAACTCAAGGAGGAGCGCGAGCGTGAAGAGCTCCAGAAGAAGCTTGAGGCCGCCGGTCACACCAAACGAGTCGACCGCGTCGAGTTTCTGTACAGTGGCCCCACCGATGGCCAAACCGGCACAACAGAGGAGCGCGAGAGCTACCTTCTGGGCAAGCGCCGCATCGACAACCTTCTCAAAGGCACCGAACACAAGAATCTAGAGAAGCAGGCTGGCCAGGAGAGTTTCATGGCATTGCAAACGGCCAATACAGCACGAGATACGGCGGCCAAGGTTCGAGAAGATCCTCTGCTCGCTATCAAGAGACAAGAGCAGGCTGCCTACGAGGCGATGATGAACGACCCCATCAAGCGAAGGCAGTTATTGGCGTCTATGGGCATGGCAGATCACAAGCTGAAGTCGAAGGATAAGGAAGAGAAGCACAAGAGGAGACATCATCACAGACATCGCGGTGGTGATGACGACGGAGATAGGCACCGAAAGAGGCGCCGATCCTACTCCAGATCGAGAAGCCCGCGCCGTCGAAGAGACAACCCTAAGGACGAAGATCGACACGAGAGGTCGTGGCGTCGCAGCGATTCCGAGGACAGACACAGCCATCGATACAGGCGGACTTCGAGATCGAGGTCGCCCCGCAGACGCGATTCAGGCACCAAGGACGGCCATGCCAGGCGACACCGCAGCAACCGCAGGGAAGACCGCGAACAACAACGGTCTGGCTCAGTGTCTGACGAAGATCGCGCCACTAGACGACGAGAAAGGTCACCGCGTGGCATCGACAGGCGAGACAATCCCAACAGGGATGCATCAGGGTCTCGGGGCTACAGAAACTACGACAATCGGCGTCAAGACCAAGGCAGGCGATCGGATGACCGCATCAGCGACAGCAAAGAGGCAGGTAATCAGGCTGCGGACGAGGAAAGGGCACGAAAGCTGGCGGCCATGCAAGCTGCGGCTTCTGACCTCGACACTGATCGAGTCCGCCGTTTGGCCGCGTTGGAGGAACGGGAGAAGGCAGCGCGGGACGCCGACAGCCAGGCAAGAGAACGGTCCTCTAAGTACGGAGACAGGGAATTCGTCAACGGCTTGCATCGCAAGGCTGGCAATATGAGCCTGGGCGAGAGGATGGGCCGGGGCAGGCAAGGGCTGCAGCGGGATGACGACTGAGAGCATGACGCGCGGAGCATCGCGGAAACACCAGGGCCGGGTAAAAATGACCAGCCTTTTGGCGTAGTAGATGGTAAGAGAAGGAAGGCGAACAGAGCATGAGAGTTTTAGTATACCCGCCTGGGTAGCTCCAACACACAGCGGGGGCCGGATACACGGAAACGGGCCTCGGTAGCACTGGCTGGCTGATGATCGCCTATGTATGATCTGATAGGATGATGGCTGGAATGTGGGGTTTCGGGATAGTGATGACGGAAAGCTCTTTCCGGCTTCACGTCATCAAGGGTTCTTCCAGAATGTTGAGCGGCATGCCGGTTTGCGGGGAGTTGAAAGGGAGACAGACGAATGAGTCAGCATAGAAATCAAATACCCAACTGGCACATAAGCGACCGGACACTGAGATATACAGGGACAATCGCATTCTCGATTTGCTGGTTCGGTAGCAACAGTGTGCCGTGCAGTGCTGCTGCAAAAGTCATGGGGTCTGACGGCGTGCCATCCGGGCGCCAGCGAAAGGCACTCGTGTATGAAATCTATTGAGCATAGTCACAACCAAAGGTAGGCCCGTGGCGGAGGGTGGGAGACCCGAAGCATGAAAGGGAGTGTGGCAAGGCGACGCTTGGCGGGGCGACGAGCGTCTCAATCCTTGGCCGTACCTCACAGGCTCAATGCGCGCAGTGTTGCGTCTCCATGAAAACCGACGATGTCACCTGCCCATAAGACCGGCGAAGGGGAGCTCTGGATTACATGACGATGGAAGTCAACGGCATTCCCTATCGCAATCCTGGATAGCCGGAAACAGACGCCAATGGTGTAGGCCAGTGCGGGGGCGGCCTGAGTGGCTCGAAGCTGCGGTTGCCGTCTGTCTGTTGTTTGACCAAGGTACTAATACAAGGCGGTCCCCTCTTGAGTCGCACAGGTACACAATGTTAACCGTACACAGTCATAAAAACAGTCTACCTGTTTGACTGGCTGCTCTCGGGGCTTCTTACGAATCGAGCTTCGGCGCTTTGCGACGGGAGTGTTGTCGGGATACGCCTGTTCCAGATGGCGGTGGTTCCTTGGCCTACAATGGGGTTTTCTGACAGAACAGTGAAGTTGTTTCGTCGGGGCGAATGAGTCGTGCAGTTCATGCTTTATGAAGTTGAATGAAATGGATGAGAATGAGGTTGTTGAAGATGTAGTAAACCCGGGTGACTGTGACCTGCATTTCGTAGACGGTGGGGTTGATATCGAACGATGCTTACACTAAAATAAGGGACCTGAGCAGCATGTGGATGAAGACATATGTTAAGCCTACGGTTTGTTACTTAGGGGACGATGGTCTGGGGATTTTGGCGATGATCTGAGGTGCGCCGAGGCGGGCGAAAGACCGGAAGCGAAGCAACCATCCCCGTATTACCTATCTCAACCTCAACGCAGCCGCGCCTCGAAGGCCTGCAGTGAACATGCGTAGTAGCAATATCATAGCGGGCATCTCTTCTCTGGCTTTTGGGTGTGGCGATGGCGATACACGCATGATGTACACCAGAGCAGGATTGACAGACTTTTCGCGGATTCGTCAAGCGCCACCGCGGCCGGCCATGTCGCGACCTTGTTATGGAAGGGGAGGGGTGATGGCGACAGGCAAATAAAATGGCACATTTTTTTTATACCGCTTTACCGATGCTCTGATGGGCGAAGAGGCTCGTGTTTCTCTTTTTCTTTTTTTCTTTTAGTCGTTGTCTCAATATCCGAGCGAGGGTTGTCATTAAAGAGCATTGTTGTGGAAGATTATAGCTCAGAGATTGATGGCGATGAGAATACGCTTTTTTCCCTTTCTCTCCTTCCCTTTTCAGCTGGTGTATTCCCTGCCAGAGGGCACAGGGTGGATCAGGTGTCTGCAACCTCATGGGTGTGTGCTGTTATTTGATGGGGAATTCCCCACCCCTTTTTGTGCAGCTGGCTGTGCTGTGATGATGATTGCTGCGCTCAGCTCTTCCATCCACAGGGAATCAAGCCTAGGCCCGGGGATTGGGCTCCTCCTTACACTAGAAAGAAGTGAGGCAACTGGACAGAGTGTGAGTGTCCGTACGGAGGTCAAAGTCAAGGATGCGGGAAGTGGAGATGCTCTGCTAGTGCTAGTGACATTCATCAGTTCGGTTAGGTGCCCCCCTCGTTCGGCCTCGTTTGCTTGTTTCTCGTGAGCTCAATTGACACTGCTACTCCTTGTACCCTTTTATTGCCGTCGCTCGCTCACGCTTGTGCAAAGAGAGGAGGCGGGACAGTGTGGCTGAGTGCAAGCATGTGCACAGAGTTAGAACAGCGTAGGTACTCTGTTCTTAGTACGGATACAAGGTAATTACTAAGTACATGTAGTCTGTGCACCTAGGTAGGTAGGCAGTGTCCAATTTCGTTTCTCACTACTTTCAGTTGTGCACATCCAGCTGCTGCAGTAGTTTCCTTCCCTTCCGTTCTCCCAGTCCAGTTCCAATCCCAGCCCGTCCACTTTCGGTCCCGGCGCCCCTTCCCTCACATTTCCTCCCAGACTAACCCCGGCAACAGAGATCTTGACCCTGTCCATTCTAGGTCTTTTCCGCTCCATTCTGTGGCCCTTCTGACTTCATCTCCGCCAATTGAGTAGACTACCATTTCCCAACCCAATTTCCTGCTCCTGCGTCTTTCTACCCCCATTTTGCTGCACAGGTAGCATACCTAGGTAGGCACTGCAACTCGAGCTGCATGCACTACACTACAGAGACTCCGCTCTCGCCTTTGCCTTACTCACGTTGCTTTGCACATTGAACATCGCTCCACTCCACCTCGGCCTAGCCCTTTCCTCTCCAGAAACGGTAACTCAGCACTGCCAAACGCGTACCTTCCTTACTTCTTTTGTTCTCTCCTCCCCCACCTTTCCTTTCCCTCACCTCACCAGAAGGAAACCAGCTGCCGTACCTTCCCTCCCACTTTACCATCCTTCCACTCCACCCTCTCCTTCTCTGAGGCGCCGCCCGTCCGCCTTTCTTTATTTCTTTCTTTGTTACGCTTCCTTTTGCTGTCACACATCACCAATTCAGATCCAGACCCAGACCCAACTGCAGATAACAGCCACCTCTTTGGCACTTCCCCCTTGCCGATCAACTGACGAACAATCCATTTTTGCGCCCTGTTCTCGACTGGCCGTCTGTCGACTTCTTTCGTTGCTCTCCACGAACAAGCAAGCAAACCTTGTATCCTGTCTGCTCGCCCTCATTTCCCTTCCCCCTAAACAGATCAACCTTCTTCACGACTACGTTCTTCAGTTGGCCACCAAGAATTACCCACTATGCCTTTGTGTGGAGGATCCAAGACTGTCCAGCGCAAGCTGGTACTTCTGTGAGACCTTCCTCTCCAACTCCCATCCTTGCGTGTATCGTTTGGCTGTCTGCGACTGGTGGACTTTGGCTGATTGCTTTCCTTCCTTCAGCGGCGATGGCGCGTGCGGCAAGACATCGCTGTTGAACGTCTTTACCAGAGGGTAAGTTTGGCTTCCAACCCAGCTACCTCAAGGGGCCAGGGTCGCAAGCCTTTTGATCGCACTTTCGTTGCTAACTTGGCTTAGCTACTTCCCGACTGTCTATGAGCCCACCGTCTTCGAGAACTACGTCCATGGTACGCGATCCTCCCGCCGATATCCGCGAAAGGCGCATCGTCGTCCGCTGCCGGCGTCGCAAGCCCCTTTTCGCCAAACTGTCTGCTGACCCCGAACCCACTAGACATCTTCGTTGATAACGTCCACATCGAGCTTTCTCTCTGGGATACCGCTGGCCAAGAGGAATTCGACCGCCTTCGCAGCTTGTCTTACGGTAGGATCATCGGCCAGGGTGGATTGAACAACGTTGGCTTACTAGGCGCAGACGATACCGACTTGATCATGCTGTGCTACAGCGTCGACAGCAAGGACTCCCTCGAGAACGTTGAGAGCAAATGGGTTGGTGAGATCGCAGACAACTGCCCTGGCGTCAAGCTCGTCCTAGTCGCCCTCAAGTGCGATCTCCGCGAGGCCGACAACGAGGAGGAGGAGGGTGCCGAGGGCCAGCAGCGCGAGAAGCGTCCCATGATCAACTACGAGCAAGGTCTGGAGGTCGCCCGTCGCATCAATGCCCTCCGCTACCTCGAGTGCTCCGCCATGCGCAACCGCGGCGTCAACGAGGCCTTCACCGAGGCTGCCCGCGTAGCCCTCAGTGTTAAGAAGGACCGCGAAGAGTCTCAGTGCGCCGTCATGTGAGCGATTTTGTATCGGAGGGCATGCGTTTCGCGCTTTCCGCATTTTCACCCCCCCACGGCCACGATCGAACTGGCGGTCCTTGTTTCTGACGGGATCGGACATCGAAAGACCATTTTCATTATGGCACTCGGTCACTCGGAAAGGCGTCGGCGTTCCCACGGATTAGTATTTTCAACCTCGATTTTGCACACCCTTGCATTGCCCGATTACGTCTCTTTTATTCCAGATCGTCCAGCTCCTTGGGCAGACGCGACCTTTTTCTTCTCTTGTTTTCGACCACTCTACGGACTTGTGGTCGACACGACTTCTCTCGATACCTCTGGGCACCGGTCACATTTGAGCACAATTGTACATACCCGTTTCGCTTCTCGATGCACATAAGGGGTTGTAGGGCCAGGCTTCTTTTCTTCTCGTTGCTTTTCGTTCTGATCACGTATACACATGGACAACATGGCCACAGAGAATCAGCGGGCTTTACATGTGGTAGGTGGATGGCACATGCGTGTGTTCTGGCTACTAGACTCTCAGATGGGGATGGCAAAAGCAGTTGGCCCGTCTTCAGGCTCGTTCATTGACTTGTACAGGCATAAAAGTTGTCTCTAGATGATGTTTAATGAACTCAATTGCCCATATGCCATCCGTATATATTTGCGCCGTGATCTATGGACTCTTGAAACGCCTGTTTATATGTGGCAAACCGGCCACAAACGATGCAAGCCCCCTCCCCCCGACACAAGTCTGTGATGGGATAATGAAAAACCAACTGGTGACACAATTAGGAAACACGCGGCGCATTCCAATATTGGGCCTGATACTCTCTCTCTCTCTCTCTCCCCACCCCTGAAAAGTCAGACACGGGGCGATTCGTGTTTGCTGAGGGTTTTACGAGGGGCTTATGGGGACACCCCCAATCATATACTGATGTTCGGAGATCGGGGCCTAGTCAATGATCTGTCGCAGTCGGACTAGGGACCGGGCTGATCACTCGAGATCCCAGATTCGTACACGTGTAATAAATAGGTAGTCAGCATATCTATCAGCCACGTCTTACGTAGGAACCCTGGCTGCTTTCAACGCTGCTCTACTCGAGTAATCAGACAAGCTGACAATGGACTTCCCCCTAGTTGGCCTGGGAATACCCCTCGGCTCCCTCATTTCGACTTGTTACTGTCCTGCGCTGTGCACGCGGCCAATTGGCGAGCTACGGGTAGCGGAGTGCATAATAAAACGAGACGTGGGATACACAAGAATTTTTGCGCTTAAATGACTCTTCGACGTTCCGAAACATGTTCAAACATATAAAGAAGCTGCCTGCCTACGAGTAATGGTTGGATTGAACAGTACAGCCCGTCCAACTCGTTGACACGGGAAGATGTACCATATGCAATTAAAGCGAGGGCGATGAAGAAAAGCCTTTGGCCAGCCATTTTTACTTTTCAACTAAGCTTGCTACCAAACTGTCATCCTGAACTCCCCGTGTAGAAAATCGTTCCCGGTCGTAATACATATAACCTGATAAGTAGTAATACAGCTGTCTAGAAAGATAATTGGCGCCCGGGCATTGTGTTTCCGTCTGATGCGTGTTACAGAATGTTTAGTCGCCGTGACCTAGACAAGGGTTAGCTTTGGACGTTTGCCTCGGGAGGCTGGATGGTGGTACGCACGTCCCAGGGCCTTGCCACGCTTGGAAACCTCGCGGGCATGGTATTGCTTGATCTTGGCCCGCCTGGCCTCCTCCTTGGCCTCCTCCTCGAGCCTACGTACCTCGGCTCTCGCGGCAGCAACGCTCTCGCGGGCGGCGAGCAAGGCACGGTCAGCCTCCTTCTCGGCGGCCTCAGCGCCCAAGACGCGCTCGCGGGCTTGGACGATACTAGGATCCATCTCCACGGCGCTGCCGGCGCCGCCGAATTTGTGGAGGATGCCGCGACGGCCGGACGACGCGTCCGTGGAGCGGCGGAACACACCGCCTCCCCCCCCGATGCCGTTGTGGTGGCCGTCGGGAGAGGTGTGGTAGGTCGTCGACGACAGGGACGAGCGGGAGGTTGCGGATGTGCGGGTCGTGGGCGTGGGGGAAGGGTCGCGGCGGGAGCTGAAGATGCTGTGCTTGCGAGAGGCGGGCTCGGCGACGGGCTGGTGGTGAATGGGCTCCGGAGAGGGGTCGCGGCGGGAGCCGAAGAGGCCGTGGCGGCGGGGTTCCGGGGGTGGTGGGGTCGGTTCGCGGACGGGTTCGGGTGAAGGTTCGCGACGGCCGCCTCCGAAGAAAGGCATCTTGTTCTGTGGGGTGGTTTTGTGAGGGGATATGTAGGATGTAGGAGAGCGAGGAAGATACTAGACTGGACTAGGGCTGCCTTGGCAAGGCTTGGTAGTGGTAGTTGTGGATGGTGATTGCGTGGACTCTTACGAGATGAAGCCTTGGGATGCTGGATAAGTCGGAAGGGAAGACTCTCGGCGGGGATGGGTAGAGGTTATATCTATCCCACCCCTCCACACAGCCTTTTCCTCTCCTCTATTGGGTGCCCTTCTCATTCCCACTCATGACATTATGCCTCAAGCCGCCATTGCGACCTGTTCAGCCCACCTCAAGGTACGTTGCATAGCGGGCGCCCGTGTGGAGACCCCACCAGCCGCTGTTTGTTGGCAGGCTGGCATGGGCGTTGCTGCACAATGATGCCAAGGTGGTCATCCCATGGCCTCTACGCTGTCGCACGCGGACCCCGACCTCTTGACGAAAGAGTTCAAACCCCCGATGTCGACGGTGATTAGGTTGATCAGGATTGGTGTTGTACTACCCCAAACCTGTTTTGTCGGTGATCGGCGAGCAAAGATCAACATCGTTGGTGACGTCAAGGCTCATTCAGCGAAGGATGCTGCACAGGGACTGAGGGTTGTGTCAAGCTAACCAATTGGAGGCCGTGGATGACGGCATGACTAGCCTCTTGGGGAAGGACCCCTAGATTCTTACACTGTAAACCACTTATTTCCCCTTGAGCTGGTTCGGGGCTCTGCAGGGTCTTGGTTCGGTAATTGTCTTGCCCTTCCCTCCTCCGAGACCATGGTCAAGTGACAGGGGAATAAGATATGCTATGACATCGTACATTTCTGAAAGAAGTGCGACGCAGCAGGCAAGGGGCATTCCTTGATGACACGAGCTGGTGTAAGGACACATCCGCGTCTTGATGGCGTTCTGGTGGTCGTGCATTCAGTGCATAGGATGAGCTGGCAGGAGTTCTGGCTTGGCTGTCCGGATCGGGCTGGGTTCCAACGGTGGACGTGACGATTGGGAAAAGCTAGGGCGAACCGTTGACGTTGTGGCTTGCCTGTCCAACGCGGTGGTTTGGTCATGGCCATTGATTGTCAAAGTACGGTGTTCGGTTAACTCGGGAGATGCTTGCATTCCCACCCCCCTTCCCTCTGAGACACCAGAGATTGCACTGCTTGTTGCACAGACGCATACGGAAACAACAATGTATATGCACTTATCCATAGACTCTTTGCCTTGTTCCTTGTACCCAGGTCACGTCACACTCGGGGTGGGCTTTACTATGACCGTGCAGGATACATTACATACATAGTAGAGCTGACCGGGCTAGTTTACAGAGACATACGGGACCAAGTCAAGGCCTGTGTGTGTGATCTCCCTGTTTGGGGCTTTATTTCTGCCCTGAATATCATGCCCAAAGGCTCTTTTCTCAATCTCCAGAGAAGGTCTATAAGTTCATTGGTGGCCCCAAGCAAGCATCTTGACGACTTCGTGGGGATGTTGCAGTTTCGGGACAGAGATTTACAAGCTGGCCACCATAATATTAATGCTGGCTGTGACGATCGCTCTTCAAGCAAGTTTTCACTTTATAATACCGATGTATTCCACTCGTCACGAATAGGTTATAACTTTCACCGTTAAAGTCTTTAACCAAGGATCAGTTGCCTCATATTAGCTAGCTCGCAACATATTATCGATCGATTGGATAGCAACGCTATGTATAGGCCCTATATTTCGTTATAACTTTGCGACACCCTGCTCGAGCTTGCTTTCCGCTGGCTCGTTACTGGTCCATGCCATCCACGCAACTGCAATGATGAACTTGACGGTGCCAGAAATCCAGAGCGCCCCGGGCATGCCAGCCTGACTCCTTTGCAACCAACCACCAATGATACCACCTAGAACAAGCAGAACCACCGCGAAAAACCTCCTGTTCCTCTTTGGGTTTTCCTTCAAGGGCGCGAACAGCTTGGGGTCTGAGAGCAGATCGCAGTAGACACTGGTGAGCACATTGGTAGGAACCTCATTATAGCCCAGTATTCTGCTGGTGACGATTTGGCCACCAAATTGGAAAGCGAGGAGAGCAAGCGGTACCATAACAAGGGGGTCCTCGGAGGTCTTGAACTCGTGGATTGATTCGGAACCTTGTACGGATGTAGCTCCGAAGTCGGCGATGAGACGAGTCTGGGAAAAAGCGGCAGCGAGGAAGATGAGAGATGCCTGTAGGATGAACGAGAGCACGAGGGTGCTTCTCCGCTTGGGATGGATGTGCCTCGACTTGGAAAAGAAGAAGCATCCAAGCCAGAATGCGGCAATGGAGCTGAGAGACTTGAGCCAAAGGAGTGGCTCGCCGGCCGGAAGACGGGAGGCGCCGAGGGCCATGAATATGGTGTTGCCTTGTGCGGAATTAGTATCACGTCCGAGTACCTTCGCGTTGGATCGTGAACTAACCAGTTTGCATACTAACGAAGACCCCGGCGGCATTGACCGCTACGCTGTCGCACAGCCCAGACACTAGACAGCAGGCGAGGACGGGGATGTCGGTGTAACGGATGTTGACATCGTCACGCAGCCAATCGACAACAGTCCGCTTCGGCTGAACCTCATGCGCCTGCGGCGTGTTCACGACATCAGTGCCAGAAGATTCCCCGACTCGAAAGTAATTGGGAGTGCTCATTTTGACATTCGTAATAGTGATGGCGAGTCCGTGGATGATGGATTCAAAAGGGAAGAAGGAGAGAAAAAACAAACCGGATCTAGAACCGTTATGTGCATGAAAAGTCACTCATTCCCATTCCATAGCCCTGTCTGGGACTGGCATTGCGTTATCGCATCTGGGCATGTCGTTTAGCCGGTTCACAGGGTGCTTTCTTCAGTACTATTACCTCTCGGGTAAGCGCCCGTCTCATCGAACCCACCGCTGCGTACGGATAATCGGAAACGGACTGGCTGCTGTGAGTCACGCTCTGTCTTGGTGAGGTTCGGGGATGATGTAGGCATCAACCCGGATAGATTGCCGAGATCAGTGCTAGCAGTCTATATGCTCATGCTTAAGTCAACCTCACAAATCACCATTGATGATGCGGCTTTCCTCCGATAAGAATTGCACAATGCTCGGACTAGACTGAGCACGTGGGAGGATGGGTACCAAGTCAACCAGCATATTGATGCAGCTTGGGCTTAGACCGACCTCGGTTTAGACAAGCCGTTGGTGGCTGTGACAAACCCGGTCACGACAAAAAAGAGAAGAATCAAAGGAAAAGAAAAAACTGCGTTCTAGCGGAATCATTTTAAGAATGTGGGTCTAGGCTGGCCATGACCCGGATATTTGGGCCCGCTATTGGGCCGAACACCCGAAGATTCATTCACCTTGACAGTGCGGCCTTACTCAGTACTCATCTCACCTCGCTCAGCTTATCATTTTCCACCTCACCTTACTCATTCTGTTCATCACTCTGCTCACTTTTCTACACTTCCTCGTCAGTGTCGCCACTAGGGTCACCAGCAGCCTGTCTACTCGCGAAGACATCGCCTCTGTTAGAGAGAGCGAAATGTGGCCAATGTTCGTTTTGCTGAAATATCACCTAGCCACGATGCGCTACTCATGAGCTGGAGTTTAAGTAAAAAATCCCAATCGCCAATTTTTTTCTTTTTTTACCGTACTGGCGGCACCTTAGCCATCTCGGTTCAGCAAACACGATGTTTCCCATGTATATCTACAGTATCTGACACAGCTAACCGCATATTCCCCAGACGCTAGGTTGTGCCTAGGACAACTTTGATAGCATAACCAAGAAACAAACACTTACACTACCTGTTCGGCCAGGGATAGGATGAATATTAATGCAAGGGCGGCTGTGTGATTAACAGCCCCTGTTCCACCCGCTCCATTTGCATGGTCGCGAAGGGGAGAATGACACCAATAGCCATGTTGTGTATCCGTACCGATTAGAGATAGATAAAACAAAAACAAATTCAAATAATGATAATCCGCTAGAAAACACGTTTATGAACTCGTGTGCCATGTCCGATTTGTTCAATTCCTTTCTCCTCCAATGATAAGGGCTTTGCCCCTGGGGCCGAGAAATAATCTCGGGATCACCATCTGAGTTTCCCAGTCGGTCGCTTAACAACGGTCAATAATCTCTACCGGTGCCACCACGAACTGAATCCTGGGCTACTGCACTTATCTGGTTCGACCGATAGTTAAGACGCTAATCCTGGTTGGCTCTGGTGCGGAAACGCTGTCCGTTGCAGGTGCAACTCCAAGAACCCAAAGAGGAGCAAGAGACATTGGCACCCCCTTAAATCACCATGTTGCTTGCCGCGATGCTAGCATACCCTGGCACGTCTTGCCTGTGTCTCCCCGCCTCACACAGATTGAGACGAGACCACCTCCTGTCATTGCTCTCCATTGCCCCCTTCCCCAATTGTAACTCAACGGGCCCTCCGTGCTTCCATTATTATATCGGCCCCGGTGTTCATCCTGATGTGTCCACGCTCCTTTTCAAATCGGTTTCTGAATCCCCACCAACGCCATTTCTCCCCCGTCTCGACGCTCGCTCGAATGTCTCTCCTTTGAATCTCTGTTCCAGCACCACGGCGGATTTGTCTGCCATACTGCTGTTTCTAACACTCTTTCGCCGCTAACTACGGACACACTCTTTCTGCTTCTCACTCCTGTCACTCATTTCGCCCATTGCATGCTGCCCGGCGCGCCGTGTTTTGTCGATCATCTTTACTTGCGATACTAGACGTATTGCTTCTTAACCCAATTTTCGCGCATCCATCACCTGTTCCGACTGATAGGCGGCATCTTGATTTCAAGCGCAAATCTCGCTCTCCAAACCTCCATCACTCTACTATACGTGCGATTACTGCAATTCAAATTTGACAGCCATGCTGTCGCAATACGCTCTTTCGGCTGTGGCGCTGCTGGCGTCGTTTGCCCAGCCCACACTCGCGCAAGTCTCAACCAAGTGCAACCCGATGAACGCAACTTGTCCTGCCGACCCGGCCTTCGGTATGGACTACAGCTTCAACTTTAACTCCACGCCGTCGAGCGACGCCTGGGAGACGACCGTCGGACCCGTCAAGTATACTGCCGCGAATGGTGCTGAATTCACAATCAGCAAGCAGGGCGACTCTCCAACCATTCGAACCAAATTCTATTTCTTTTGGGGCCGCACCGAGATCCATATGAGGGCAGCCACGGGCCAAGGTATTGTGAGCTCCATGATGTGGCTTAGCGATACGCTGGATGAGGTTGATTGGGAGTTTCTTGGTGTCAGGAATGATGCCCTAAGCAACTACTTTGGCAAGGGTGTCGAGGACTTCCACAACGGTGGCGAGCATCCGGTGACAGGAAGTATTCACGATGATTTCCATAATTATACCTGCGTCTGGACAAAGGAGAAGCTCGAGTGGTGGATCAATGGAAACAATGTGCGGACCCTTCTCCCGCAGGACGCCAACAATTCCATGGCTTATCCCCAGACACCCATGCGCCTGAGTCTCGGTATCTGGGCCGGTGGTGACCCTCGCATGGCCAAAGGAACCCAGGAGTGGGCTGGAGGCGAAACCGACTACGCTGCCGGTCCTTACACTATGTACGTCAAGTCTGCGCAAGTGACTGACTACAGCTCTGGAAAGGAATACTCTTTTGGGGATAAATCAGGCTCGTGGGAGAGCATCAAGGTTGCCGAGTAAGTCGCGTTCAACGCACTAGCATCTGCTGTAGCGTACCATACTGACATCTTTCACAAGGGGCAACTCGACTGTCAAAGAAGCGCTTTTGGCGGAACCTAGCAAGTCCGTCAGCGAAAAGTTCGACGCACTTAGCCCGACCGCAAAGACCGCCGTGTACGCAGGGGGCGTCGGCGTGGGTTGCGCCCTCATCGCCTTCGGTCTTTTTTACATTATCCGCCAGCGTAGGCGCGGTGCTGCCGAAGCAAGACTTGCTGCCGAAAAGGCCGAAAGCGAGCGCCTTGAGCTCGAAGGTTTCCACAAACGTGGTGTTGATCCCGACTCCTTCGCTGGATCGACAGGCACCGAGTACAACGCCGCAGAGTTCAGCAAGAACGGAATGGCACAAGGGAACGCCTACAGCGTCCCTGCGACCCAGGAGAAGGATGTTTGGGATTCTGCTCCGGCGGCCGCTGGCGCGGCTTCACCGGGTGCGTACAGCGACTCACCCAACGGCCGGGGACAGGTGCCGTCTCCGTTGCATATGCAGAGCCCCGGAATGCCACCTTCGGGCCCTCTTCCAATGGCTCCGAGCCGCAGCACCTCTCAAGGTGGATATTCCAGACTCGGGTCGCCTGGTAGTCCACACAGCCCTCCGCCCATGAGTCCGCCCTCCCAAGGACACAGCAACTATGGCTTTAACAATCAGCAGGGCTATAGCAATGGCGGCTATGGGGACGCGAACCAGGGACACTGGAACAATGGAGGCTCTCAGGGCGGCTTCCGGTGATGCCTCATGCGTCATCTTCGTGACTCCCTGATACTGCTCATCGACAACATGCTTGGGCCCCCTTTCGGTTTCTCTTTGTCATTATGCATGAACACCTGAGCGATTTCCTACTTTCGCCTTACATATCTGAATCATTTCAAAGCAAGCAAAGAGAAGCCCCGTCGACAGATATGTTTCCTTTAGCTTGCCGCTGCCGAGATATCCTAAAGTGTAGTCTGAATCATGATAAGGCTTTTACGAGTTTCAATAAATGTATGGCCTATTTGGCCCTCTGCCCGCCCCCTGTATCTGTCAGGTGTCCGCACCTAATTACCAGCTTTTTCCGGATGGCGATGGCACGTTCCAATAGCTGCCGCCAGGTTGTCCGCGTGATTATGGTTTGCTCAAGATGCCTGTGCGTGAACCGGTTCGTACGTCGACTGCACGCGACGAGCCTCTGGCATAAGCAACCTAACTTCAACGTGGCAATTCGGATATTGTTTTGAAACTGGTCAAAGGCATAATCGTTCGTGATGTGATATTGGCATGGTATGAGGCAATGTGATGAACGCCTCCCAACCCCGAAAATTGGCCAAAAGGGACATCCAGGCGATCCACGTTGATGATGCTCAAGTTGCAACAGTGTTGATTGCTGAAGAGCTGTGAACTGCAATCTTTACCAGGTGTGTAGTTCATGCCAGAAACCAGAACATCGGTGCAACAGTATGCTCAAGCTCCATACTAAGGAAAGGAGGTCAATGATGCGACAATGTGATCCCCTTGCTCCGCAACTCCTAATGCTGACGAGGCGAACCAAGGTTTGCTCATGTTTTACTCATATTTTTCGGCCGCATTGCCGCTCCAACCTTTCAGTGTGGGTGGTTCGTGCTGACGGCTGAGGGGCCATGGGCCAAATCACAATGCAAACCATAGCATAAGCCTATCGAGTCTCTGTGCGACGTATCTGCAGGGAAAATGGCATGTGCAGGACCTTAATTTCGGGGGACGAACTGCCATTTGGTCATCAGCCTTGACCGTTTGTTTAGCTGGAACAACTGGAATGAAGCTTGAATACGGTATGATGCCTATTCATCCCACGGAACTCCTGAAATACCTGTGGATCCAAACGGCGATGCAAGAAGTCTCGGCATCCCGCATGTCCAAAAGAAATAAACAATCTGCGCAAACATTCTTGAGCCACACGATATATATTGTTGTTATACTTATCTCGGCCTACTCTGTTACCCGGGCTGGATGGTCGTCATATGTCAGTGCGACCACCTTATGTAAAGTGCCTACTCCGTAGTATGGCTTGAATGACTCCACAAGTGGCGGTCAATTCAGAGTCTTCGTAGTCATCCTCTCGGGGGTTGAAGAAAGAAGAAAGAAGAAAGAAAAAAAGTCCGATCTCACTCACGGACAGATGCCCATGCGCTTTCATCGAACCAACTCAAACTGTCTATTTGAATATTTCCCCATTATCAAGGTACTGAATCTCGATCTGACTGTTAAAGCTTTCAAGCTCGAGATCAATGCCCTTGTCGCTTCCACGTTACTAGCCAGTTCAGCAGTAAGGGGGTCCATAGGCAATACTAGCACCCAAGCAACCATAACCAATACACTAATTGGGAATTATCCGTCCTATCAAACGCTCTACTGTCATATTTCCAGTCAATGTCGCATATATTCTGGAGAAAGTTCGCATGGCATGAAGCTGTTCCTACAACTGTCGGAAACCAAATGCCAGAATTTAGGCTTTTGCCGGGTAACTTTGCATTGTATTCCGTCCCATTTTGGAAAACCTACAAAGCTGCCAAGGATCTCGTTCCAGCTTGCCGATTCCAAAGCAGGCACTCCGTTTACCTTCTCGGGCCAGGGCGGAAGTTTATTGTCCGTTTGATTGTAAAGGTTGCAGCCATCCTCAAGCAGCCCATGCATCGGTGTTGGTTGAAGCGTTGGTACAGCGGCTGCGAACCCTTGCGAAAACATAATCTTCACCAGACAACGGTCGTATTATTGCATTACTTGCACTTCAGTTTCCGCATAGAAAATATGGCCCGACTTTGGCTAGGAATATGCGCATTTCATAGGTGGCAGCTACCAGGTTTATGCCTATCCACCAATTTATTTCGTCTGAAAAGAGAGGGCAAACTGAACAGGCACAGAAAGCAAGCAGTGAATGACAGCTAAGCGGTGGAAGTTTCAGCAACGACCATTGTTGACTTCAAAGTACCAATCAGGCTTGAACGTGGTATCAACTTAGGCCGTACTCGGCGCAATGCGAACAACCAGCACATCGATCTTATCGATGAGTGCGGCTGCACCAAGAGGATGTCCTGGAGCTTGGCAGTTGATCGACTATAAAGAATGTGTCTCCTGCCCACGGTAATCGTATTATCCTCTCCATCAAACAGACAATCAAGCAATCAAGCAACCAAATCCCCTCAAGTTCAGGATACCCTTTCGATTTCACCCATCTTCCATCTTTAAATCATCTCCGCACTCCAAATCTTACACACAATCAAAATGCTTTATTCAAAGATCCTCATGGCTGCCATTACTGGCATGTCCTGTGTGGCAGCCATGCCAGCTGATCCCGCCAAAGATGTTGAAGTCTTCCGCCGAGGCGATTGTCGCGATGACCGAGATGACCTCTACTGTGGCCGGAGCGTCACTGAGTTTACTAAATACGGTGCGTTCTTGTCCACATAGTTGCAGTCAAATCAACTGACGACGGTTCCAGATTCGAACAACAGGCTCTGCTACAATGACGGAACGAACAGGCTTTTCTGTGCCATTCGCGAGCAGCAGCAACTGGCCTATGAGATTCTACGGGAGTGGCAGAGAATTCAGTTGTGTGGACTGAACCAGTACTATGCCTTTAGAGCGCAGCGCTGCGAGTGCTACCGCCGTCGTGATGGCGGTAGCGATAGAGACCGCTGCGACCGTGACGACGATTATGGCCGTGACAACCACGACCCTAACTGCAAGGGTGATGACATTGCTTTCTGCGCCGCAAACGAGTATCTGATCATCACCTATGGTAAAGCTAACGCCCTCTCTTGTATTCAAAAAGCATACTTTGGCTAACCATACGACAGACCGTAACAACCTCCTTTGCGACAGAAACACAGGCAACTACGTCTTCTGTGCCAGCAGGGACCGCGGTGCTGCCCGTGATAAGGCTGAAGACCACTTCCGTGGTCGCCGTAACAAGCAGTAGATCTATACAGTTGCACTCATTGATGGATATAATGTGTAATTTCTCGGATGCACGGGTCGGAAATTAGAGTCTGGAAGGGCTTGTGAAGTTGTGGCGGGCATACTGGCCTATTGACTAATAAGTTGACTTGTCTGTTTTTGTCGAGTGCTTAGTCAAATTCTTGTTTATTAAGAGACAATAAGAAGAGAGATCGTATGTTTGGTAGTTAAAGCCCCCCTAATGGTTGATTATAACAGTTAAGTCTCCTTGGAAAGGAAAAAGGAAAACAAAGAATAAAGTCAAGTTACAAACGTGGTAGAACCATTAGATTGCAAACCTTCTTAAAATCCACTCTGATACCATTTGGCGCTTGGCTGCTGTGAAATCATGGGATTGACAAGTCTTTCCTCCACGGTAGATATCTAGGGCCTTTGTTATTAACTAATGGGAAGGTACTAAAACATGGGAGAAAGACAGTACGTTGGAAAATTTGTTATGAGTGTAAGTGTGAGATTTATTCACTGGTACGTTTTATTAGAGATGTGCTGGCAATAGATATAGAGGTAGTATCATTCAGATGACTTGAGTGAGGACTGGCAAGCGCTGCCACCTTCGAACCTGGGAGAAATTTGCAGCCTGCAGTTATCTAGACCCAGCCTCCACGTTCTCAACCATCTCAAAACTATACAGCTGTGGAGGACGCTCGTTATTTCCCCTTAAGATGTACCGGTTGAACCACCAGGGCAAAACCTCCTTCAGTTGAAAAGAGGCGTGCCGTCGCGTCGGGACCGAGAAGACTTCATCCAGCTCCTCGAGAGAGCGCTGTTTGGTCTCCGGGAGGAAGAGAAATATGGCGACCAGGCACACGATGTTCAGCCCCGCGAACAGGCTGAACAACCCCTGTGGCTTTAGGGTTTGTATCAAAGGAGGAGTTGTCAGGCCAACAATGACGGCCCAAAAGTTGTTAGTTGCCACGGCCCAGGACATTCCAACTTCGCGATGAGAGAGGGGGAAGACCTCGGATGAGTAGACAAACGCGCAGGGGCCCTCTCCTGGACCGTAAAAGAAGGCAAAGAGGTAGATGAACATTGCGATCAGACCCAGGTGGGCTGGGTTGCTTTGTGGGATAAAGAACGATATGCCAGCGCCAAGCAATGTCCAACTCATGTTGGGAAACGTGGCGAGTAATAGAGTTCTTCTGCCCCAAATGTCGATGGTGTATAGTGCAGGGATCGCGAAAACAAACATGGCCATGCCAAAACCCCAAGAAGCTAGGAGAGCAACTTTGTTACTTGCTCCAGCTTGCTCGAAAAGGGTAGACGAGTAAAAGGCCATTAGGTTAACTATGAAAATAGTCAGTGTCTATCACTCCAGAAACATATCCTCATAGAATGTTGGGGAATGACCCACCGCCGCAGAACTGCTGAGCGGCCATGATGATACCTGACGCTTGAGCCGCGCGTCGGTTGCGCGAGACTGTAGCTAGTTCGATGCACCGTGTGAAGAAGTTGCCCTTAGAAAAGCCCGTTGTTGCGATGATGCTTTTCTCCATCTCCAACAGTGAGTGTATGTAATACAAATCCCGGGCAGCGAGGAGACGGTGCCCTCTTAGTCTGAGAAGGGACCGATGAGCTTTCGCGTATCTTCCTTTTTTCAGCAACCATCGTGGTGACTCTGGCGTAAAGTAAATTCCAATCAAAAGAGGGACCGCAGGAATCATAGCGGAACCTAGTTGCAGCCTCCATGCGATGTCCCCTAAATCGACAACGGCCAAATTTGCTGTAAAACCTAGCATGATGCCGAAGGCAACAAATAGTTGCCAAGACATGACAAGCGCACCACGGATGCTGGCAGGAGAGTTTTCGGCCGAAAAGACTGGAACGGTAACCTCCATCAAACCCATTCCCATCCCAAGAAATATTCTGCAGGCCAAAATTTGAGGCCAGCTTTGGCATAGAGCTTGGCCAACTGGGCCGATAAGACCAAAGATGGCGCCGATGAAGATGGTGCCTCGACGACCCATCCAGTTGTTGACGGGGTCTGATAGCCAACAGGCCCTTTGGTTACGCGGTTAGCTAAACCTAGCCATGAGACTGCCTGGTGATAACGCACATGATGCAGATGGCCATATAAGGCGCACTGTTAATTGCTCCGATGATCCATGAGTTCCTTTCACAGGTTCCAGCAGTGAGGCAAGCTTCCCCTTTGTCCGAGATGCCGAAAACCTGAGGGTAAGACAAGTTGGCACCGTTAGAGCCTGTTTGATCCCATCCCTGAACTGCCGCGCTGATAGAGTTCATGACGATTGTGAAGTAGAGTGCCTTGGGATGCCTCCACCGGTGCTCAACTTCCTCCACCAGAATAGACTTGTCGTCCTCAGTTAGTTCAGGTATTTCATTATAGGCTGTCGGATTCTGGGCTGCCAGGGCTCCCTTCTTGAAGTACTCGGCGTCTGCTTCCAACCCATATTTGTTGGCAAACTCTTCGGCGTCGGTTATCAATTTGTCTTTGGGAATTCCTCTCAAGGGGTTCCCGAGTCTATAAGTTTACAATGTCAGTGACAATGAATTCATCAAACAAGTTGGCGAGTAATTTGCAGCTTACTCTCCTGTACCAGTCTGGCTGCTAGACGATGGACCTAGATGAGAAGCATCCCTATGAACGACCTCGACGGCGTTGAAGGATATCTGGTCGCCTTTGGAGCTATTATTATCCATTAGCTGAGATAGCATATGCAAGGGAGGCGGTTTACTTACCCTTCTAGGTTGTTGATTGAAGATGTTGACATTGCCCCGTATCTGCCAGACGCAACTGGTGCCTCTGGTCCAGGTCGGGAAGTTGAAGGATCACCTCGATCAATGTAATTGCCCACTCTGTGTGGCTCATGGTGTACAAGAAGGTGATGGGATGTGGCCATTGATATACTGTCCACTCAAGTCAGTGCCGGTGGCCTTGAGCAGGGACCCCATGGGGAAACGTAGGACCCCGTTAAGCTCAAAAGTATAATGGCTGTCGTCACCATAAAATTTCCTCTCAAGGTTGACTAAAGCAATGCTTTGGCATATGCTAACACTTCCAAGGTCCCCAAGACCAACACCTCGAACCCCAAAAAGGTGTGTGGCGCGGGAACCAAGAGTACCAAGTTTCATCACTTTCTTTTCGCTTTCAAGTGATGCGTACCCGACATAGAGCCTACACCTTGCTTGCGGAGCTATTATAACAGTTCAACAACAAAACATATTGTTGAAAGCCAATCTGCTGATAGTCGGACCCATCCTTCGAGGCATATTGCCAGGTATTAATTCTGGTTTGAGATTAATCGAGTTCCCCTTCCAGGAAATGGTGTCAAAGACCCAAGTACTTCGACGGTGCGCATGTAACTCTAATTTTGCATCCTGTTCTGCCGGTCTTAGTTACCTTTGTAGCAATTTGGTGATCTGATATACTCATAGACACACACCCCAGATGGGAACGGAAGCTTCCATGCGGACCACGCCACGGTCGCCTACTTTAGGTGTTTTCCCTTCACCACCTCGTATCGAGTATGTATCTTGAAACTTTGCTTAGGCTCTGCGGAGATCAGGTGAACCTGGAGAGCTCACCAAGCTGGCGTCTTTGCCATCTCTGATGCGCCACAACCCTCAGACAGAATTTCTGACGCGGACATGTGTGACGATATTGTGGCGCTATGGATTGAAGCAGTAGAAGTTTTTACTTTAGTCTCTTTACTCTCTCAACTTTGAGACAACGGAAATATATCGTTAAGTGTAGCAAGGTATTATTATGACCTGTTGAGAAGTAGGTTGTCGTGAAGCTGGGACAGCTTTATGTAGCTGGAACTAGTGGTAGGCGCCACAGGAGTGGCATACTAACCAACAGGCCCACTTTAGGAGGACTATTTCTACCTAATTTTCTCCTTATAGTTAGACTTAAAAGAATTAACTACTTTTTCTCTAATATAATTAGATACTATAGTTTATTATAATTATAAGCCTAGCTTTTATATAAAAAGCCCTTTAAATATTATAATTACTTAGTAATCTAATTATATAATTCTTAACTATTTTATAAATTACTTTCTTTTTTTTAAATATAATATCTCTTAAAATAGAAAAATTAATAGACTATAATAAGTCTATAAAGCTTATTATAAAATAAAATTAGCTTAAATAGTTTATTACTTTTAAATATAATACTAAAAGTAAGAAAGTTCAGAAATATATTAACCTAAATAGTAAATCTAAAGCTAAAATTATAAATTAACTAAACTTCTAACCCTTTAATAAATAGCTTAAGGAATATAATAAAAAAAAAAAATAAGACTTAAAAGGTAATACTAGCTACTATAAATATAATTACGTTTTACTTTTTTAACTTAAAAAAAGAACTTAGTAGCTATATTAAAAAAGAATAAGCCTATAAGGTAATTAACGTCTAGGTCTAAGCTATAGTTAACCTTATACTTTTAACTTTAGCTTATATAAAGCTATTAAATAAGGGATTATTATTAAATATATATAATAAAAATAACTTATCTTTAAGAGCTTTTCTAAAAGTCTTAAAATAACACTACGCTTTAAATAATTTAATAACTATAATAATAGTCTAAAAGAAATATTTAGTAATTTTAGCTAAAGCTAATACTAATATTAATTTTATCTTATAGTATATAAACTAGTATAAGTGTTATCTTTATATAAAGTAATATAAAATCCTTAAGGTCTAAAGAATTTTAGTAATAAAAACTTTTCTTTAAGTAATTTCTACTTACTTTTTACTTACCTAAAGTAGAACTACTTTAGAATAAGTTATTAAATAAGAAATAAATAATAAGGAAAATTACTTACTTATTACTTATAAAGCTATATTTAGTATACTAATATATAAAGAAACTATAAATAAAATAAAAAGAAAAATAATAGGTGTTTATATTATACTTTTAAACTAAGTAAATAAAAATAATAAATTAAGTATACTTTATATAAAGAAATATCCTTATAAAGTCCTAGTAATAATAATACTAAGTAACTATTTTTAGGTTAAATTTATACTATAAGGTATTTCTTACTAGATATCTTTTAAATAGACCTTAAAAAAGTTAGTAAAAATCTAAAAATAACTTAAGAAAGATAAATAGTAGTTAGTCTTATATATACTAATTAATAAAGACTAAATAGAACTACTTACTAAAAAAAAGTTAAAAAGATTTCTACTTAAGAAGAGAAATATAAATTAAAAAAAGTTAAAAGAAATAAGTCCTACTTTAGGATCTACTATAATAAATTATATTACTATTAACCCCTCTCTTCTAGAACTATAAAATAATACGTTAGTTATTTTATATAGTTATTTCTTATATAGTTATAACAGCCTATATATACTCTTAAAGAGCACTATTTTTAATACTTATAAAGCTACTTACCTTATTAATAACCTAAGCCTTCTTAAGCCCTCTTTAGTTTATAATATAGGTCTAAATAAAACAGTCTGAGTAGGTTTTACTTTATTCTTAGTTATAAAGAAAAAAATAAGAATTATTAAAGGACTTCTAGCTAGAACTAAAGAACTAATTAATCTTATACTAAGTAATATCTATTATATAAAGAACTTTTATATTAATATTATTATAAAAACCTATTTATATAAGGTAGGTATTTAGTATTATAGTCTTAATTATACGCTTAGATTTAGGTTATTTAATAAAAGTAAGGTAGTTTATTACCTTATTAAAAGATTTAACTTAGTCTTTTTTTAATATAACTTTTATTTTTTTTACTTATTTTTATATAGTAGCACTAAAGTGCTTATTACCTTACACTTTTCTTTTTACTACTATAAACTATTATATAATATATAAGGTAATAAGACTAATAATATAATACTATAGCACCTTTATTCTAGCTATTTAAGACTAAATATACTTTAATAACTAGTTTTAAATATCTATAAAGTAAAAATATAAACTCTTTTCTAGATTAAATATAAATATTATACTATAACTTATACTTTATAAGTAATCTTAAGGCGTACTTTAAAGGTAAAAGTAATCTAACCTTATTATTAAATCTTATAGGACTTATTTAATTACCTAATTAGCTCTAATAGTATAAGCTAGATACTAGTTATAAAAGATAAGTATTTAAGATAACTATTTACTTTCTTAAAAGTAAATAAAACTTATAAATAAGTTTTTAAAGTGCTTAGGCTTTTTAAATAATAGATATAAAAGTAAAAAAGACTATTAATTTATAAAGTTAAATAGAATATTAAATAAGTAGTAATTAGGATATAAGGCTATACACTATATAAATAATAGATATAAGAACTAAGGATAAAGATTAAACTATCTCTACTTTATACTAAAGAACTAGTTAGGAGGGGTAAAAGAGCTAGCTAAAAAATTATTACCTAATTAATTAAAATAATATCTAAAGTAAACTTACTAACTAATCTATAGCCTAAAATAGTTATAGTAGTAGTATATATTATAAGTATAAGCCTAAAGAAATATAATAACTAGAAATCCCTAGTTAAAGTAAAAAAAGCCTAGTATTACTAATACTTTAGATAGTACTAGCTAATCCTTAATATAAGTATAATATAAGATTTATACTTATACTAAGGCTAGCTTTATATATATAGCTATTATACTTATCCCCTTAAGTATAAAAGAGAGAGAGGTATTAAGAAAAGACTTTTTAAAGTAGTTCTCTAAAGGTATATTAGGTACTTAGTAGGTTATATACTAAATTTATATAACCTATATAGGATTTAGGTTTTATTACTTTATTAGGTTTTTATTACTTAGAATATAACTTTTAATAAGATAAAGTTCTATATATAAGAAGACTTAAAGCTTATAATTAAACTAAAAGTTATATAAGAAATTATTAAGCTTAAAGTCTTATTTATAAACTTAAATATAGTCCTTAAAGCTTTAGGTGTTACTAATCTAATAGATCTCTTAATTGAAACCCCTTTTAAATTAATAGTTAAAGTAGATATACTAACTAATAAGGTTATAAAACCTTAATTACTAATATAATAACTAAAAAGAAATCTTTTATTACTAAAATCTATACCTAAACTAAAGTTAGTAACTAAACCTATTATTATAAGTAAAAATAGTATAAAAGGCTAATCTTTAGTAAATTTTCTAAGAGATAAAAGTAGTATTTATAATAACACTTTAATATAAATTTTACCTAAAGAATAAGTTAAGAATATAATTTATATTTATACTAATAATAACTTTATACCTAATTAAGAGGTATATTATATAAAGAGAAACTAGCCCCTTTTTAAAGTAAAAAGGCTATCTAGCCTAAGAAAAGTAACTAAACCTTACTATATACACTAAGTAATATTAGCTTAAGGGGTAATTAACATAGCCTTCCTAGCAGCCGTTACAGTTCTAACAAGATAAAGCTAGGCTGCAGTAGTGTTATAAAGTGACATAGTGTAAAGGCAAAGCGTAACAGTAGAGTAGTAAAGTAAGATAAATAATAATAAGGAACTAAACAGATAATATAGGATAAAATAGGTAACAGATAGTAGGTGTATTTATAGTTAACCTTTTGTCTATAAAGGGTTACCTACTAAAGGGATATATACCTAAGGTATATATAACGTGTTATATGTATATTAGGTATCTAGTCCCTACTATCTATCTGTCTCCTAACTACAGGCACTTACTACCTTATCTTATAATAAGTGCCCCCCCTTAAAAAGACCTTATCTTCTTTTACTAAATGCTTTAAGAGCTAATTAAGAAAGTAATATTTACTA